AATCCCATTAAACCACCATTTTCCTATGGTTTTCCTATGGTTATTCTGGAATTTTAATCTATGATTAATTCTGCATCTTCGAGATGGCTGAGGGCGTCAGACGCTGTCATGCTCAAGTTTTGTGTCAAACGCTGTGCCAGTGACTGAGGGAATTCAGTCAGTTTGAGATCTACAATATAAACTGACTGATATATGAAAATTTTCAGGGTGGAATCGCCTATTTACATACATGTCATATATACCTCACAATGTCAGTTATGTACCTCATAATGATATCTACATGTATCATGTATCTACAATATATTGTATACGAGGCGACCATTTTCTTCAGATCACAATTGAGACGGTCTCCATGCTTTGTAGTCATGATTTGTTGTAGTTCACCGCATAGATTTTCCGTTGATTTGGCGGCAACCCATTTCTATCATTTTCTATCCACATCACAACTAGCGGAGCTTTGTACCTCTTGTGATTCGGTCAGTATGTATTGTTTATAGATGTTTATAGTTACCCTCTGGTAAATTAGCATAGACCCTGAAAATGACCAATTTATAGTGGAAACTAGTCTTCCAACCCCTATCTGGCAGGGTCTATGTTAATTGACTGGAGGGTATCTTTTGTAGTTATTTCCACATCAGAGAGCCTTAGAACCTGTCTTTGTCTCCTTATGTGTGTGTCAATCTGGGCCAAAAAATGGATACGGCGGGCATCTCCTGGTTGAGCTGTGGATGTTGTCTCCTGGGAGATTGGACCTACAAAGAAGCCAAGACAAAATTGCCTGGTTGGTGGTTTGGAACATTTTTTGGAACATTGATAGTTGAAAATGGCCATTTATAGTTGATTTACCCATTAAAAATAGTGATTTTCCATACTAATAAACTATAATAGCTGGTTGGTGGTTTGGAATATGAATTTTATGACTTTCCATATATTGGGAATACTGCAAATACTCCCAACTGACGAACTCCATTTTTCAGAGGGGTAGGTTGAAACCACCAACCAGTTGCCTTTTCACTGTGGTTTGCTATGTTTCGGATTCTTTGGATTTTCCCATGTGTTTCATCACCTGGAGCTACTTCGGCGGTCGGGCGTTGGAGCTAGGCAAAGATTTTCTGTGGGACTTGTCCGTCCAGATCACTATGCCAATCTATACATGTCAGAGGGCGACGACTTTGCATTCAAGATGTACCCTCTGGTAAACGTTGACAAAAAGCTATTGAAAATGGTGGATCTTTCCATATAGTTATGTCATGTTATGTCAACGTTTACCAGAGGGTAACGATAAAACCATGTGGCAAAGTGGGTCAGTCGCTTGCTCCAACCTGTTTTTTTTTCATTCCAGAAACGACCGCTGACGACAGTCGCCAGTCGCAGTCTGGGGGGTGTAAGTTGGGGATCGCCCAACTTACCGTGGGTGAAACAACGCTGAAATATGAAATGCTCGCAAATGGTAGTTACCCTCTGGTTATGTCAAAATAGCTATTTAAAATGGCCATAGAAATAGTGAACTTTCCCATTAAAAATGGTGATTTTCCATAGTTATGTTAGTTTACCAGAGGGTACCCATGGGTAACCCCATTTGCGTCCAACTGTTTGAAGGTATAGCGTGGAAGAGATGTCACAACTTGACATATGTCAAATTGACTGATTACCCAAAGAAGGTACTGCTGAAATTGACCTCAGACTGTTTTTTTTCGGCAAAAGTAGACATGGATATGGGTCTTGGGGGCGCAAAAGTACTGCAATTCAAAACATCTTAAATCTGACATCTTTGAAGTGTTTGACTCACGCTCGACACCTGAGTTTGAGCCCTCCTTTGGACATTCAGCCCTTGCAGGAGGGAGACAAAGAGAGGGACAGGGACGATGACCAGGACTTCGAATGATTTCGGATGTCATGCGCATTGATGCCACTGTTTGATGATTTTGATGTGCTGAGTGAATCAAAACATGGCACCCCTTGGGACCTTGGGATAGCTAACTTTCACCAGGAACTCAAGCGGCAAGGCAGTTGCCCGGGCTGTTGTGTTCATGTTCGTCTGTGCGAAAGGATACAAAAGAACACAAAGGGAATATGTTGAAATATGTTGAATCAACAAATAAACAGACAAATACATGAATATGTATAATATATATATATATACCTAGATCTTCAAAAGCACACTCTTTTGTGCTCGAGTATATGTTGGGCATGTGACTCCAAAAAACGTACGTTTTGGAGAAAAGTGTTCGAGTTCTGGCGGGCATTCAAATTTCAACATATAATATACACCCGAACATCTCACCCACTCCCGTCCATACGGCCAATTGCAAAGTGGTGGCACTGGACATGCACTTTTTCATCATGGCCTTTGACAGTGCCAGATTCTCAGCGAACTGGGCCGGGGCGAACAGACCTTGGGCAGACCTTACCCCATTCATATTTGTAGTTCATCAGCGTTTTGCTGATTGTTCGAAAAGAAACTGCCAAGCTATGCACCTTGCGGCTTTGTCTAGACACCCTTCCTATGAAGTCCTCATCAGCCCATGTTGCAAAGCCTTACAACAAGGCCGACCAAACAAAAACAAAACAGGTTTTTAATACCATGCGCTTGCACACTTCAAGCACACTAAGTTTCCAACACAATGGGTTAAGGATGTCGTCGCTCAGGGACGCTTGGTACTCCAACTCTGCCCTTGAAACAAAAGAAAAATAACATGAAGAAATCCCTGAGGATATATGCGACATACTAGTCAGCAAGCCAACAACAACACCCATTCAGTGGATGTTTCAGCCGTGGCACACGACGTGCAAAAACATATGAAGTTTTGGTCGGAGGTACCATAACTTCCAACCACAGGAAGCTGCCAAGGATGCACAGCCACCATAGGCTTCCTGTGCTTCTCATGAAAAACAACTAAACATACCCAATATACCAAAACTTTTTTGAAAGTGGGGATACCTCGGAGTAACCTAAAGTTCTGGAACGCCGGGCTAGGAATGCAACCAAACTTCAGTCATGTCCCACCCATGCTTGGCCGCTGAGAGAGCTTCGCTTCGAGAAAGCCAGAGACCACCATGGTACAAGGTGTGAAAGAAAGAATTGCTTGCATTGTTTCCCCATTTCACGATCTCAAAGATGTCCTTGCAACATTCCTGACAAATGGAATGATATTCAGCCAGGCTAATCAGCTAAGGTTGTCCTTGGATTAAAATTCGTTTTGGGGGAAAAGGCGCCAGAGAACTAATATAGCTATATGCCCAAGCAAGAAACTGGTACATCATCCCGCGTCAAGCGATCCAGAACAGATTTCAGCCATTTGTGAAGCAATGCGCAATCATGTCCTTTACCAAGACCCCTCGGGAATTTCTGCAGCCTGGGCAAAGCGGCACATCATGAAGAACCCCAAGGTTTCATATTTTTGAGCCACTTGTTGATTTGTAACATCCACAAAAAGAATAAGCTCTAATCCCTTGCAAGGCTCGAAGTGATTTTAAGGTCTTCCTTTGCAAAATCCAGAATTGACGTGCTTTTCCGGTTTGCTACGCACCACTGTTTGAAGGATATCCAGGCTTGGTGAAGTTGATATTCAAAGCCCCCTGGTCCAAAAACCCCACACCGCACAGCCAAGAATACAATGATGGATGCAGCATCATCTTTGCCCCACCCTGCAATGGCATATGTGTGGGCCAGATCTGTTTTGACAGCCCTTGCATCATCCCATAGAATACGCAGTGGCGATGGCACCCCAGCTTTGAATGGGGGCGGCACACCGTCAGCACCCGGCTGAAATTGGCGCATAGGTCCATGTAGGGACGTATCATACCAATCCTCACAGGAGAAACCACCCCAACTAGCACTTGGACATTTCCCATTGCACAATCGCCGAACTTAACTAAAGCAATTCTCCACCGTCAGTATGAAACAATGGTACAATACCACTCATTTCTTCATATACTTTACTACCAATTGCAGAAAACCGCAAACAATGGCTTCGCTTTACCCCGAAAATGAAATAAGTAAACAGCTTAGGGCGCGCTGCTGCAGACGTGTGGCTCAATATCAGCTGCGTATTGCTTTGAAAAAAAAACTAGCACTTGGGCCCCTAAAAAGCAAAATACAACACTGTAAAATAGCCGAGAGCTTTTAAGGGTCCCAAGTTCCAAAAAACGGTTTTGGTTCTGGACACGCCAGGGCTAAACAGAAACCCAAGGCTCATCAGTATTGCAAAGATGGCATTTCCTTTTGCAGTTGTACCCTGGTAAAAGTTTCCATGCCGTGCGTTGCCACGGCCAATCCCCTTTGCTACCCAGGAATTGGGCATAGATCTTAAAGGTTTGTCCACGCCATGACACCTAGCAATGGTGAAGGAATGAGACCTAACCCCTTCCCTAAAAATGCTGGTGCTTCATTTTGGCATTTCCAATAAGCCCTTTCATTTGTAGATTAAATACTCCAGATACGGGATCCCAAAATGAATTCCTATGACCAAGGCTCCTTCCCATTTAATACTACATCGATCCATACATACGGAACTTTGAAACAACACTAAACCAGCTCCCAAGATAGTGCCCTGAAATGAACAGGTCCACAAACTGAATGGGAATATCGATTCGATATTGTGTAGGCACATTTCATCCACCAAAATCTCAAAAAATAAATGAGATGGAACCACATTTAAATTAAGGGTTCAAAAATACGCTTAGGAGCTTATATGGTGCAAAGATAATATTTCAGTGGGTAAGCACCGACACAGCGTGCTGATCCCTTTTCCTCTATTGGGCTCAGAGTCGTTCAATCTGCAAAAGTCTCCAAAAGGGGCTACGGCATATATACAACATGCATGCCATAGCATGAACAGACATGACTGTACTAGGCGCTACATCTCTACATATGGCATATATATTTTATATTATATGTAATATATATATCAACGATTATATGGGGTCAATATTTATTTGGGTCACCCACTGTTCTAGCCAATTGTGATATATTTTTTGGGTATCTTAATCCTGCTTTTTCAGGACCACTTGGCCTCAATCCCGTCCCGCTGCAAGCTGACAAGGTCATCTACCAGCAACTGCAGAAGACCATCGTGGGTCCGGCTGCGGGGGGCATAGTTTTCCGACGGAAGCACTGTGTAGAGAAGGCGTGTTGTGAAGGTGTGCCTGGGATGGATCAATGGTACAATCACCAAAGATCGGTTTGAAGTCTAAAGGCTTGGATGGATTTTAGCCACCAATCCCCAAATTAAGCCAAAACACTTTTCTGAATTCACAACATCGTTGGCAGCCCATGGGATCATTGGCTGGTACCCTATCACCAAAATTGGTTTCTTTCCTTGCCCACGACCTTCATCCCCGTGTAAGAGAAACGGTATTGTTTGCTCTGGGACAGACGGTACATTTACAGCATCGATTTTGCAATGCCTGCTCCAAAAAGTCCGGAGAGTCTCTTTGATCTCATCCCATCTATCCAATTTTTTGCCCCCCAAGACGAAAAAGCCTCCATAGTGAGGATCTTCACACGTTGTACGGATCCAATCACTTAGCAAGAGAACCGGCCAAGGCCTGTTCATCACCTTCCGCTTGCTCGGGAGCCGAACTGGAACATCGACTGGGGTGACTGGGACTGACAATGTTTTCCCCTTCCGGTGCACAAAGGCGTGCAAAATCCGACTAGCATTTTTGCAATGTTGATCTTTATAACGAGATAGTTCTGAAACTTTCTTGTCGTAAATTCCTTGATGGGCTTTGGGCAGCCAATAGGACTCCAGAATAAACCCATAAATTGCACTAAACCAATCTGGTGGCCTTAAGTACATACCCCAAAAAAGTTGGATAAATAAACGGTTGGGAAGCATTCCCTACAAATTCAATTTTGCAGGGCCATGGCAACGTCCAGAATAGAAAAATGTTTTTGGGCAAGTATCCATGTCGGGTCAGCAGCTTCTGTGTCCTGTGGACTTGGGCCATAACATCTTTTGCAGTGGCCTCGTTTGCTACTAAAGTGGGACCACCTTAAGAGTTTACCCCAACTAACTTTTCAAAAATGTATTTTCTTCTACAAAACCAAGAAGCCCCCTTGGCAAAGCTTTCGACCCATCCAGACACCACTTCATCCTCACTGCTGTAGCTGTCGCTGGAGTCACCTGGGATGGGACATAGGCAATGTAGGAGATATATACTATGGGGGGAAGACTGGCGGGATACACACCACTTACTACTGAGAGTGCTTATACACCCCAATCAAGTTCGGTGATTCCAATTTACCTGTTGCTTCCACTAAAGCTGAAGTGTTTAGGATTGTTTGGGATGGTCAGTGCTACCCATAGTGACTTCCAGGCTGCGTCCCAATTTGAAGAAACCAAGTCACCTCTCAGAACAACATCTTCGTTCAGACCTGGCATGGCTCAGGGTAGTAGCAGGTACTACAGGTGATTCCCCTTTTCTATTTACCACTGATTTTAGAAATTCAAGAAAGGCAAGACAGCACAGGGCTGTAATGTTGGGCAACAAGGTTTGCAGGAGAATCTATGCAACGAACTTTTTTCCCCAATCTCTAGTGTCCGTTCATGGAGCTGCGCAAGATTTGTAAGACGGGTACCATGGGAGCATTGCCTGGTAATGTGCGCTCCCCTTTCTGAATCAAGCAGCTTGGATAAAAATGAGAAAAGCTTGGACAAATTTCAAGAAATTTAAATTTGCATAGCGCACACCAGGTGCCCCAAAGATGCCCAAAGCACACCGCGTCTATGAAACACGGGTTGTAAATCCAAATTTCATGATCAACAAAGCTGATTTAGTCCTCAGCCTTGGCTGCCTTTCCCTTACCCTTCCTGCTCTTACGCTTGGGCTTGGGGGCTGCTTTGGCCTTTGTTTTGGGTTTCGGGGCACCACCGCCACGGCTCGGAGCATTCGAGGCCGAGCTGGATGATTTCATCCCCCTGAGGTGCGATGGAGGCGCAAGTTGGATACTGGGTGGCCATGAATCACACGTATACTCGCCTGTCAAGAGTTACCAGTATAGCTGATATCTATTATATATAATTATTTTCAAACTCCATCTTTTCAACGATATGGTTAATAGTGATCAAGATTCTTTCCACGCATCACCAAAGAATTCATGTTGACGTCAATCTTGGTGCATTCCACAAAGAGCTCCTGGATCTGGGACTTCTTGTGCCTTAGACCATTATTATATTACAAGAAGATTTGCTAGATGACATATCTCTTACAGCGGGAGCCAGGTTGCCGGTCAATTTCATCAGGCTTCACAGTGGCCTCTGAAAGCTCCGCTGTCAAATCCTCATACTTGGCCTGCATTTTCTGCACGACTGCCTCCATTTGGGTTGCCAACCTTAAGGGCCGACATGACACAGGAGGCCCTCATTGCAAACTTGTTCTACAGTTAGATCTATTTTCTTTTAGGCGAAGTCCCAACCAAAAAAAAGGGATTTGGTCCAAGAAAGCTTTTGAGCAGGTCATTCATACATAACCTAGAAGCCAATCAAAAAATGTCCCATATTATACTGTTTCACTTTTGGGCAATTATTTCAGCCAAAAGGCGCAAGGCTCGCAGAAGAATTCACGGCCTGAAGCCGCTCCTGACAGTATCATCCCAATGTGTGGAATCCCCTCAGGAGTGAAAGTCCCACAATTGGATCAAGGTGGTTGCACATCCAAAAATCATGTGAAACAAAATTCTTAAAGCAGCGCGGATAAAGAAAATCTTTCCCCTGATGTTTTATAGGTTTGGTGGAGGTACTTAGGGGATGTGACAGCCCATGGTTTCAACACCCCTGTCCATTTCGGTTCGGATCTTGTCCAGCTTTTTCCCCAGCGTTTCAACGAACTGAGGCAATATGCTCAAAGGGCTGGTTGTCCCAGTAACTGTAGGGAAAGTGAGCCTGGGCGTAGGGAAAGATATCGATATCAATCAGTTACATAAATTGTTCAACCACCACCATCTTGTGATCATACTATCCCCAATTGAGGCCCTTACTTGAATGACATCACTGCACTGGTGCTCCCCACGGCCACGGCAGGTGCATTGCCCTGGCCAGGGCCAGAGCTGCCAGAGCTGGGCAAAGTGGAGGCCAGAACCGCGTCGTCGCCGGCAGCCAAATCCGGGATTTCCGTCTGGAAAAGGGATCCTTCTTCGTCCTGGCGCTCCAGGCATTGGTAACTTTGAACCTTATTCGGGGGAATGTTTTTTAAATTCATCAAAAGTGGGCCCAAAAAACATGATGACCAGAACTTGACAATTTGTGACATCAAAATTTCACAGTAACCCGACCTGAACTTCCATATTGCCTTCACGATTCATCTCTTCCTGTTCTACCTCCTTTGCTTGGAATGTTTCACTCAAGATCAAATAGATTTCTTCTTCTCCGTGCACCGGGGAGACCCGGTGCTTGTTTGAAGCCTTTGCCCATTGGACAGCTTTGGCCACCATTGACCTGAGCTGCTACCCAATATTGGCTGGACTTTAGCATTTAAATATACAGCTATGGCCTTTTCCCCATTTAGAATGATAACCCCATTTGATTTAATGTCGAAAAAATGACACTTTATTTTGAGACATCCCCCAAAAGGGCCATACCTGAAACATCGAATCTCTAAACAGGTCAGCCGCAGAAGAAAAACATACAGTAGGCCCCTGACTTCGACCAATGCTCTTTTGACTCCAAGTATTGCTTCGTAAACCAACCACCTGACTTTGCTTTCTCTATGGCCTTTGTGAATTTCTTTCGCACTTGCACTTCCAAAGTCTCAAAGCTTCCGTGGGCACGGAAAAGGCGTTGGAGTTCCTCACCTTAGAACTAGTACTTCCCAAAGAAACTATATACCTGGTTGCATAACACAATGTGTTATTGTCAAATGCCGAAGAAATGTAACAGCAAATCAGCTCAACAAATCTACCATGGGACGCCCTGAGCTTGTTTTCCACATGCGTAGAGCATCAGGGGAGCACTTGACTTTGCCACCCTTTGGCCGAAAATACCGGTAGAGCCTTGTGGCAGGGAATCAAAACATCTTTACCCATGACTTGTTTCGAGATGGAATCCTTTGATTGAAATTTCAAACATTTTGGGATGGCCTCCAATAGTTTGGGTCCCGCCCATTTTGTGGCTCCGACGCCACTTGCGAAATCGAATCGTCGCCAACATCCGACTCAGCCACCGTAGGTGTGGGCACTGCAGCAACTGGACCAGAGTTCTCGGAGGACTGGCCCGGTTGGGATGCAACAACTGGGGTGGGAGCAGGCACTGGGGCTGGAGTAGGGGGTGACAACGATGGTGAATTCAACCCGGTACGGACTGGCTCTGGTGTCTTCAAGGGGGCCACCTTACTATGTGCAGCAGCAACATCACTGGCTGTTGCGGGGATAGTAGGCAAACTTTCAACAGAAGCCCCAGAAGGCAAAGTTGGTGGGACTTGGGAATCTTGAACAACTCCAACAGGTTCAGCTTGAACTGGAGTGGGTGGAACTGCCATGGAATCCTCAGGGATCAAGCGATCAGGTGTTGGGACAGTCCCATACTCAAACGGCCGTGCTGGATAAATATCAGCAGGAGAATTGGTGGAACCACCCTGGCTTGGGGACGGGTTCCCAGCACAGAACTCGCCAGCTGATTGCATTGTCAATGGTGCTCCTTAGATGCACCCCATGAAACTTGTGAACTTCTACACATGTGCATGGTGTGCGCGGTATAATTTAAGCTGGTGCATTCATAACCCACAGAGGCAAGACTCCAGGTACCTCAGGATCAGGACCTTCAGGCCTAGCCACATTGCTCAACTTCCTCCGCAAAGCTTCCACCCGCTCCCTGCGAGCCTAAGCTGTAGTTTGCGCGTGCGCAGGCATGCACACATGAGGCACAGTAACTATGACAAATAGATTTTAAAATATAGAGAAAAGCGAACAAGGAGCTGAAATCAAAGCTTCAAGATCCCTCTTTCGGGATGCCATGTCAGACTGCGTGACCATGTTGACACCTTCCAGCAATGTTTTTGCTGAATGAAGACGGGAGGTCATTCCCCGTCAAAAAGCTGGAAGCCAAAAAGCACTGAGGTATGCCGGTTAAAGGATGGAGGTGGCTGCAAAACAACACTTGGTCACCACTGATGTCCATGATGCCAAGGATTTGGCAAAGAATCACTAAATCTCTCCAGGGTTTGTGGTTATAAGCCCTTCTTCCTCTTTCTGGGATACAAAGGCGCCCAACAGATCATATGATTTTGCAAATGAAGATTTTGAAACTAGTACACTTTTTCAGATTGCGCTCGTTTGCACGAAATTGCGCTCGTTTGCACCGAATTGCGCGCGTTGTGCGCTCCATTTTTTGTGGCATAAAAACCACAAATCTGGCATTTGTGCAACCAAAACCATTTGAAGCATTCGATGGGTCCACCGGTCTTCTATATTGCTGGCAAAGTAGACATCCCAGAGTATAAAAGGGGTTAATTCTCATCAGGTGGATCTGAATCCCCATCAAACTAAGCTGGCGCATCTTTGCATAACAAGCTGACTACTCTGCAGTCTTAATTGGCATCGGTTTCGCAATCCCCCTGCTGAAGCGACATGAGCTCATTGGTCAATGCCGGATCTCCAAGCACCTGGGGTACCACATGTTGCTGGTTAGCATGGGCATAATTTGGAAATACTTCCTACCAGAGCAATATATACCGTACCATCCATTGGAACAGGGAACATGATTCTTCAGCTCCATGTAGAAGCTGTCCATCGTTGGCTTCCAATCATTGGGTATCCTTTCAGGGCAAGGTTAGCAATTTTCCCGGTGGTTTGCCAACACTAAAGAAAACCTCCATAAAGAAAAAGTGCCAAAAAGGAACCCCCTCCCCCGGGGGGGGGAGGGGGGTTCCTTTTTGGCTGTTTTTGGGGAAAGCCAACGGGAAAATTACAAGGCAAGGTCGCAATTTGCCACCGCCAAAACGGACCCCCGAAAGTCTACCAAACCATATTATTTTTTCTTTATAGGGGGTGGTAAACGAATAGTAAATGTGCAGGCATTCTTCATAGAATTGCAGGCCATGGTTAGTCCATAGAATCACTGATCAATCTTGAAGGCAAAAGGAATCCATTTGTTGGCAACAACTTCTATTGTGATTTAGACTCTATGAACAGCAACCCTCTCCTGCACCTAGAGGATGTCATTAGGTATGTGACTACTGGGAGTAGGTTAGCCTCCTCCCAGCAGTCCCCTAAAGGGAGGAGTTCAAATTGATCCCTTTCCGACATCCATTTGTTATATTGTGGCTTGAAACGAAGATCACGTCGCGCAGGACAAGATCCAATGTGATTCTCAAAGGCATGGAGCAGGTTCCTCCCGTACTGCACGGGATACGTCCTGGGCCAGTCTCACAGGGGAATACCGTACAGTACCATACTTTACCAAACCAGGTGAACACCATTTAAATGGGACCCCTGGGTATCAATTACAAAGCAAATCTTTTAAGATATGTGGCAAGAATCTGGGAGGAACTCAAGGCAGGAAGCCCATGAAAGCATTTTTTTCCCTTTGAATTGGTGTATTTCTGAACAGTCTTCGAGGTTGTCTTGCTTTCCCTTTCATGTTTGGTAAGCGTTCCCAGGTCCAATTGGTATATTTCACGCATGTTTGACCACAACCACGTTCTCTTTGGGCTTGGCCCTCCATGGTGCATCATCCATAGTGCGCACCGGTATACCTGAGCATATGTCATTTGGAAGGGTTAGTATACATATCAGCATGTTTCTAAGGAATGGCTTATAATATATAATATAGAATAGGGTTTAACAAACCATGCATCACCAAGTCCATAGTTCAGCTGTCAACTTTCAAACAAAACTCAGTTGAGTCTAGCTGCATAAAGGACATGGTTTACCATCCAATCGAAGCGCCCCCATCGGGGGAGTAAGGAGTTCTGCGGTTGCTCTACCACAAAAACGCAGTTGACAGCTGCGCAAAGCAAACAGACCAGAGTAGTCCTTAGTCTTGGAATCGCAATGGATCGTGCTTTCACGGGTTCAACTTCATGATAATATATTAGTGTTGCAAGTAGAATGCTCGAATCAAGCAGTCCGATCTAATATGCAATGGGAGCTTCCTGGATGCCATACAATTTGATTTCCGTACCCATTCCAGGAAAATGTTGCCGTAGGCGTTGACGAAATTTCTAAGGGAAGTGCCCCTAGCAGGGACGCCCCAACTGCTGCAATCCATCCCAATGGCCACCAGTCCTCCAGGAGGCATCCCCATCACCAGCCATAGGACGAGCCTCGGGCAGAGATGGGCCAGGGAATAACTTGGAAATTGCTGGCAATAACCTGTGCCCCAAGCCCTTCAATATAGTATCCTCTACTGAGAAAAGGGAACTACGTTGGGATTTTAACAGGCATGTATCCAATAAGCAGGCTAAGAATATGTTAAAAACACGGGCTTAGGTGAAACTATTTTTCTGCCATGATGAATCCACCGTGTAAACCACTACCATATCTTAGCGCGTTCCAGAATAAGCGAAGGGATTTATAAAAAATTACCCCTAACAGCAGTAATTTTTTCGATGGTCATCATAGACCCCCTTATTCGTTACTGGTACATTTTCTAACCATAAGATATGGGTCAGCGTGCAAACCATAAGTTTGAATTTTCAAAAACGGAACGCAGGAAACCACCATTCTTGTGGCCGCAACTTTGCTATCAATCATCGGGTTGGCAACAGAGCAGGCCAAGAAAATCTAACAAACTCAGGAAGGAGTTCGTTTTGAAAGCAAACCTGGTCAACAAAACCGCTCTTCAATCAAACAAGGCAGCGTCATAGATTGAAATGGAAGGCCAACTTGAAAGAATGGTTTCTTCAAACCCTACAGTGGAAGCCTCAACCCCGGCGAGAAGCAGGAAACCTGCCGGTTCCAAAAAGTCCATTGCAGTTTTGTGGAAGTCGCGGTCCACACTTGCTGCTCGGTAACCGCTTTCAAACCTAGGCAGCAGGTCTTCTGACAGTAAGGCTGCTTGGGCCCAATGGAAAACATGGGGATGTGTCAAAACAAGAAGGATCCCGAAACCTTGGAATTTCTATGTTGAAATATTCCCATTACGCTGGGGCTTGTACCATGCTTTTGATATCGACTGTTGTCCAGCGAATATGTCCACCACATCGAACCCAGGATTGGGTACCATCATCTCAGAAGACCATCCTAGAAGGAGCACCTAAGCAATCAACAGGGCAGCGAGGTAATGCACGTGGCAGCAATGGCAATTGATGTCATAGCAATTCTGAAATGACACAGAATCTTGAGGCATAGGCTAGCGCAATCAGCACCTCAGTTGGTAAGGGTTTTTCGAAGTAACGGTTTTATCAATGAGGTGGTTCCTAGAAATGTGCGTTCTACTTATTATGGCGCGCCCTAAAATTGAGCAGCCCCTCACATTAAAAAAAATCTGGGGTGTGTATGAGTTTCAAGATCCTGGTGTTTGTTGGACAAGTTCTCAAAGTAAACACATCTAAGTTCCAGTCCTTTGGAGCTTGCACGTGCTGAAGGGTGGCTACAGGGTTTTTCATCATATCTCCTATTGGCCAATATTTTCAGCCTTGGGTTTTCAAAAAGCTGCGATAGGAGGTCATCTGATCCCACCGGCTGATGGCTTCACTGCTGGCTGCTGGCTGCAAACATGCCCAGGATGACGTCGGAGCAGCTGCGCCTGCACTGCCCAAGTGCCAGCTTGGGAAGACCGTGGAGGCATTGGTGACCTGCGGGCCAGGGCCACGATTAATTGTGGAATTCCACCAAATAAAATGTATTGGGTTCTCGTGGCTTTCAATTGCCCAAAAACACCCAAAAAGTAAAATGTATTGGGTTTGATGAGCTGAACACATGACCCCGAGTCACCTTCAAAGCCCAACATCTTGCAAACTGGGTTGTGTATCAAATTGCAAATGCGGCACCACACATTTCACTCACTGCGGGCACACTGCATGGGACATCGCCCACTGCAGTTCACACAATGCTAAGTCTTTCCACTTCAAATGGAAATTTGGAAACTTGCTGTGCAAGCTAAGACCCAAGACAGCTTGTTTTCAAGCTGCACGCCCCAAACCAAGTTCAGCTGCCTAGTCAGTGTTTGCGTATGCCTTAGCTTCAAGTCACCATGTGGAAATCATCCAAAGTTGAATGGAATGGACTAAAAACGGAAACCCTGGCCCTTTTTGATTTACTATGATTTTTCCTCCAAATAAAAAGTACTGAAGCATTTCAGTGCTACCTCGCGTCCAAGGTCTTTTGCGGTTTTCTCATCTTTACCCTCTTTCAACGCTGCGACTTTTGCTCTGTGATACGCTGCTGATTTCCTAGACAACTTTGCCTTTGCTGCTGCTTTGGCATCGCTGTTCTTCTCATCTCCCTTTGCACGTTTGGACTTAGTCTTTTCTACCTCTGAGTTTTTGCTTTTGCTAGATGTGGATCCTTTGGGGGCCCTGGCCTTCCTGCGTCTGGAAGGCTTGTCCTTGGAACTGCTGGGCTTCTCGTCGCTTTGATCCTTGGTTGTGGTGGAACCCTTGGAACTGCTGTCTCGTTTGTCCAGCCCTGTGTCGTCCTGGGTGGGTTTCCGCTTGCGTGCTTTGCTCTTCGGGGCCAAAGTAGTGTTAACCTTGCGGTCCTGGCTCTCACAAGGGGGAACCTTTGGCTTCAACTTTTTCCCAACGGTCTCCTCATCATCTAGCTTCGGTTTCTCCTTCCCATCTGATGCCTGTCCCTCCTCTTTCTTTCCCTTGCGACCCTTGGTAGTTTCAACCTTTTTGCCCTTGGTCTTGCTCACCTTGCCTGGCTTTTCATCCTTGCAAACCTTGTCTTCCTTCTGCTCATCCTGATCCTCTTCCACATCTTCCTTCTTCTTCCTAGTCCTGCGTCTCTTTGGCTTCGGCCCATCTGACTCCTCATGATCCTTGTAACCTCTTCCTCTTCCTCTACCTTTCCCTTTCCCTTTCCCTTTCGCCTTTGTTTTTTGATTTTCCGGTTTGATAGGGCGAATGTTGTCCAATGCAGCCGGGCGATCAGATCCACCAGGGTCAGAATCCTCAGGGCAATCGTTTGTAATGCGTAAGACTTGATAAAGACCAAAATTGACCAACATGTTGGAAACATTTTTTGGGAACACAGACAAATGCAAAACCAAACGATATGCAGTATCCTCTTTGGACTTTGGCTCTGTGTCTTGATGGCTTTCAACACTGGCACCAGACTGCAACTTCATCCCGTGATCGAGTCCAGCACTGGGTTCTTTGGATTGGTGAACAGCCATGCCCTTTTCAGTACTGGTAACGACTTCACCACCACACTTATGGGAATGGGAATCATGTTCTTCCTCCCCAAGTCGAAGGGTTTTGAGGCGAAGGATTTCAGGAATTTCCTCTGGGGCCCCTGAATCATGTGCAGGTAGTGGCTGCGACTCTGGCTCAACTGGAAGTTCAATCTCCAAGGTGGGCATCGGCAGGGTGTCGAGATTGTCTGGACCTAGGCCATCGGATAGATCGAATGAATTTTCTTTTAGAACTGGAAGGCCACCAGAACGAAACACAAAATTTGAATAGAGTGCCAGTGTGTGCTACAGAAGATAACCAAATTTCAAATATGCTAGCATAATTCCTAACTATTTTTTGTTGAAAGCAATCCCATGGAACATTTTTAAGGGCCAAGAAACACACAGAGGGAGGCTGGGCAACCACAGGCTTGTGCACCACCGGTGGTGTCGTAGAGGAATTGCAGGGCGTTGCAGGTGGTCGCAAGGCAATTTTTGGGTCTACTTTTTCCAAAGGTTGCTTTGAAAGAAGTATGGCTTGTTCAAGCTCTGCCTCTTCATCCTCAAGTCTTTGGAGAGATTCTAACGTCTCTAGCTGTTCCATGGCATCCATCAGTTCCAGCTCTTGTTCCATGAGTTCTAAGATCAGCTGTTGGTCTTGTAACGATTCTTCAGCTTGTTGAGTTTCCATCTTTGCTACTATCTCAAAAGCAGCTTCCTCATCCCCATTTTTTAAAGCTTCATCCAACATCTTTCCCAAATTTTCCCCATGTCCGGAAACTGGTGGTGGACCTGGTTCACTGTTGGGAATGGCCACATTGGCTGGGACACATGGTTGACACGGGGCGGACTTGATGAAATCCCAGGACCCCACTTTTCCACATTTCCGACATTCCCCACCATTCACCCGGCACTTGACAATGTCATGGACACCGGGTGGAAGTCGACTCTGCCACTCATCGTCGTTGGTATCATCATCACCTCCGAGAGATAGGTAGTGCGGAGTAAAATGGAGGGAAAATAAACCAACATGGGCTCATATGGGCTTGCAAAGTTTCAGCTAACTAGCAATTGATCATCAACCCTGAGCTCATACCAGGATCTGGCCTGCAACAAGTGGCTGTCGCAACCAAGAAGGCTCACTGGCACCTGGTGTTTGGGCCGGGCTTGAAATAGTGGGGCATAATATCCTGAACTGAAACACAAATGCGCTGGATCCAGCATGGGAATTTTCCACTTAGTTTCGGATTGTCCTGTCATTTTCATCTGTTTTTCTTGACGTGTAACAAGTGTCCTGGAAACCTTTTTCTTGGGGGTCAAAAACGGGCTGCTAGGACACTTGTTGAAATTCAGTTCAAAATGGAAAATTGCCAATCTAGCATGAATAAATTAAGTAAGGCACCCAGATCGGTAACCACCATTTTGGCGTCATCAGCGCTCTCAGTGGAGCAAGGGGCTCGAAGAGAATGTTCTGGTGGAACTGAAGCTTCAGCACATGCCTCCTGTTTAAATTGGAATTTTCAAACTGTATATTATTTTGTTTCATTGAGCTGGGCTCAGAGTACATAAGATCGGAAAAGGTAGGACACAGATTTCTCAGTTTGTCAATCAGCTACTGTCCTTATCATCATCCATAGGCTCTTCATGGGGTTCTACGGTCGGGTCATCCTCTGCCTCTTCCTCCTCCCATTCCTCATCTTCATCCCCATCTTCATCGCCATCATCAGCTGGGTCATTGGGCTCTGGTTCTTCACCAAGTTCACCTGAGTCAGATAGGCCGGTGTCAAAAAACATTTAGATATGCAGTAGAATATGCGGGTATTTTAAACAAGGATTGAAGAAAGAAAAGAGGAATTAAAGAGGATGACCAGTCATGTTGAGGGACTACATTTTGGTCGGGGACCTCGTGGACTCAAATCAGGAACGTCGATGCCAGCAACCTGCATCAATTCCCGAATCCCTGCCTCCCGGGGCCTGTGGCCCCTCTTGGCTGCTCGGTTGAACAGGTACACCAACTTGCGTAGAATCCATGCCTCTGCACGGACCACGCGACCTAAGTCGGCCACTAAAAAACAACTTTGCCACATCAAATATATGGGCTCTTACATCCCTATGGTGGGTCTCAATACACCAGTCAATTTAAAACCACACATATTTTTATACCTACAAACAGGCCTGCATGGGGTATTGTACTAGCCAACATGAACCAGGTTCCCACCTAATGCATATACCCGTGCCATAACATATAATGTTCCGCTAATTGGATTGGTTCCCAGGCACGGGTGGGAAGTTTCTTCCCCCGGGGCCGGCAATGATGTAGAAAAGCTTCCACAGCTTCGCCCAGCAAGTCGATAGATGGTCTCAAGCCTGGGCTGTCATGTACTGACTTGGGACCCCTGAAAAACATGAATAATTAGGTGAAAGGTAACCCCGGGCACCACAAACATCCAACTTATGACAGACGCTTGTGTAAAATTAATTGAAGCCAAAAAACCCAAATGGCGGACAATGGGTGCCAGCACATCCTTGTTGGAATCCAGTTCATCCCGATCTAGGTCACTATGGTTGCCAACTTTGGCCATGATCCCACCAGCAGCTAAAAGTACCAGGTTCTCATTGCTTTTCCAATCAGCAACGACAGCCCCCACTGCATCCATGGGAGGATCCATGGAACAAGGGATGGGTCCCCCAAACACAAGGGAGATTGGTCCAAAACAGCTAGCAGAATGGTGGTTGGTGTTCCAAACATCATACTTTCCCAAAAATGAACTGTGTGAATCTGTGAATCCAAATGTTTTTTTTAACTTTACTATTTAGAATGACCTGGAAACTTCCGGTTCCTGGCCTCCCTATCGCAAGTCATAAGTCAACGGTGGAGCCATCGCAGTACCTGGAAGGCCAACATCATGGAGGGTGTCCAGGGCGTGCACGGACGCAAACACACAGGGTGGTGGGCGCACACCTCCAAGTTTGAGGAACCACACCAAGGGCCCCTTTTGAACCGCAATGGGCTCTTTGAGGCTGAGAACCCTGGATTGGAATGGTAATAGGGGGTTTATGACATGGGGTAGTTCATCATATTGAGTAACATTCTAAAATCTGTACGTTTTAGAGAAAACTGTTCGTTCAACAAAATAACGCTCGATTACCCTGTTTTAAATTAAAAAATAAACAGGCACAGAAATGTTTGCTCGTTTGAGGTTCCAGGTATATATATATATATATTATACACTGTGATTTCTAATCTATAATTTTGGGGTTGTTTTGCATAACAAAAACTGATGAAACTGCCCAAGCTCCTCGGAGCTTTGACATTTTCGACGTTTTTCGTGGACCGTTTTGTGAAGCGTTGATGAATCCCGTAGTCGCCAGGTAAGGGTGGGAAGATGGGAGGCTCCTACCGAGCCTTGCAGCTGGATGCCTGAGTGATCTGATAACGATGGCAGAACATGGCATCACTATGTTGGAAGATCAAGCGCTACTGACGGCTATACTCTAAGTATCTCTAAGTCGTTTGCCACTTTGTGACGACTTGTTAGTTCAACAATGTTGAACATGGGCACATTGCAAAAATCAGCCGGTGGCAGGTTTTGGTTTGGATATGTATGGATATGTGAACATGCCACCTGTCAGGCAAGTTCGGAAAGGTCGGAAAGTTCGGTAAAGGTGGGGCCCATGGTGGGGTTGGGAACCAACAGCCAAAGCAATAGCCAAAGCAATAACAAATTCCCGAATATATATCAAGTATGCCTGTATCGATCATGATATGGAGATGCGTGGAGAATAGCCAAACTGGTTGAGGTTTGCCACATGTCCAAGCCATGGTTTTCCGTGGTTAAAGGGCACCTGAGAAGTGTTCAACTTACCTGCTGGCTGTTGATGAAAATAAAACAATACCCAAATCTACCCAATGTGGCAAATTATGACCAGATAAATAGATATACATAGTGAGTATTATAGATAATCCAATAATAATGGGTATAGTAATATTATACTATGCCAATGGGTAGTAATAAATATCTCCTAGTAACAGTATTATTATTTATACCCAATATTATAGTGATACCCAATTATAATCCAATAAGAAACGTTCTTAGCCCATCTGCAGGCGATTTCGATGAGGATCCTGGGAGCGCGCGGCCAAGGTTTTTGAAGATCGCAGGGCGCAAACCCGCCAGGCGCGCTTTGCGCGCGCCGGGCCCGATGATCTGTCGATTTTTCTCATGGATTTTCCATGAAAGAAACCATCTATAGCTATTGGGAAAAATCTCCATTAGAAAGGCCTCCATATTGTGACATGACATCAATGTGCATTTTGTGACATTAATATTATATGTATTAACGGTATACTTATATAAATAGATGTACAGTGTGTATATCACATGTATAAATAACTATGGAGATTAATCAAGTTTGAAGAGTCGCTGTCAACAAGCTATCACTTTCCAGTTGGATCTAAGTGCAGGTTGGTTCCAGTCATGTTTCTTTCCAAACAAAGGAGCTTTCTTTAGGCCAACGAACAGACGTTGATGGCAATGCTTCTGAAAGAGGTGTCTTTCAATCACACAGCTTTCCGGCTATGGTTCTTTGCGCAAGTCTAGCATTTAAAGTCACCCCTGGGCGTGTAAAATTGATTTGAGTCTCAGTCAATGTGTCCGTTCCCTGTGTTCCTTGAAACTTCTTAACATTGTACCCATGACGGATCCATGGTGCTAGATATGGTGTGCCATGGATCCCATCAATATACCCCAGTCATGTTAGCATATTTACCAGCACCATGGATCCTATGGGGTATTCAAGTCTCCACGGTGCTCCTGGAAATGCCCAACAGCGGAGGATTTTGAGCTTCAGATGAAAATCCTGCGAGAGGCCATATGGCGGGGCAAGAGCTAGGCAGCCATGGTTGTCATTGGGTAAAGTTAACTATGCTTCAAAATCAGAAAAAAGTGGTGTAGAAACTACACTGCAGGTCTCATGTTTTTCTTGTCTAGAGTTTAAAGAAGGCCAGGATTTTCATCATGGGTTTTCCTGATTTTCGCTTGTGAAAGACCCTGGTTCCGACAAGCTCCGCTGGAAAATTGCCGATGCTTTCAGGCCGAAGTCATTTGCACAACAACCATTGCAGCAGGACATCGGAATCGGAATGTTCCCATGATATAAAATCACCAAGACACGATGTTTCCATTTAAAACCTACAAATTTGTAGGTTCTAGGTTCCAATGGTAATTGAAGTATATTGAAGTTAGTCTAAAATCCCTCATCAAGTTCATGACCTGCCCAGAAATGTCGAATCAGCTTGCAGGTGATGTGACTTGTTGTGTTTAGTCTGGTTATCCTTGATTTGGAATCCATAAGTGACGGGTCCTGCCCCAATGCCAGAGTCAGGAATGGATTTTCTGGCACGGCTCTCCAACTTTGAGGCCATCTTGGTGGATGAAGTTGCTCAGGTGCGCTTCTTTTCGCAGATCTTTGAGTGGTTTTCACTACACATCACGAGTGCTTCTAAGCAGTTCTTCAATCCAAAGAAAGTTGCTGAATCCTCGGATATCTTCCATTGGATTGAAGGGATTTTTTTCAGAGGAACCCCCATCCCCATCCTATTTTTTCATATTTTTTCAATATAGTTCACGGGGGAAAAGCCGTTTTCCCCATGGAAAACACATGGAGAAGCCAGGCAACAGAGCTCTCGACTGCAGTACCTGTGATCCTGCGCGGCGTGAGGGGCACCAAGGGTGGTTTGACTCGTATGACCGTCCCGGGAGAATGACCAATCAATGACATGGCTTTGTTTAAGGTGATTTTTTGATGTTCCCATATATTCCCATATTTTCCCAATGGAAAACCCACCATTTGGGGAATCTACAGGGAATATATGTTATATGTTTTTTGAAGCCCTGAAGCAAATCAAAGATGATATGGTATGTGATATGTGGCTAGCCCTAAAATTGGATATGGATATGTGGGTACCCTGAAATGAATCAATGAAAACCAATGATATGTGATATGATATGTCGCTATGATATGGTATGATATGGTATGATATGGTATGATATGGTACGACATGGTATGATATGGTATGAATATGGTATGATATGGTATGATATGGTATGATATGGTATGAATATGGTATGATATGGTATGACAGGCCTTTGGTAGCCCTAAAGTTGGATGATTAGTACATAAGACAGACTATAAGAATCTACTGTACGAGATGACGAATCCATCTGCAGTTTGTTGGCACTTGCACTGTGACACGCAAGGAATATGTTGAAATGCAAAATAAGAGGGGCTCACAGCGGCATGCTGCGGCATAGCTGCTTCTAGTGCACAAAGTAGAAAGATAGAAAGAGGAGAAACATGCAAAGCACTTGAACCAATCTCGAAGCCCATGTCTTTTCTTGTGTTTCGACAAATGGTGGAGTTACCGATGTGACATGAGATCTGAGCTCGTTTCGTCAATTGAAGTGCTTTTATTATTTATCCATTGCATCTATCATCATCTATCAGAATCTATCACCAAAGGAGGGGCAGATTCACGTCATGATCATAAAATTGACAGAGGTGATTTATATACCAAAACTCTTGATTCTGGGGCACCGGGCTTAGCTTTCTGGACTTTTGTGGCAAGTACTGGCCAATATTTATTCAGTGAGTCAATGACTTTTAAATATGTTGGAAGATTGAACACTAAGCAGGTAAAGTCCGGTTTGTTGAAGATTGAACACTAAGCAGATAAGGTGAATCATATGCCATAAATGGATATAAATGGTTGAATGAACCATGCTGCTGACTTGAACTTGGGGGGCATTCAAGTTCAGCTCAGACAGAGGCCAACCGCCTTGTGCTGGTGGGTGACCACTGTCAGCTTCCGTCACTCGACAGGGATGGATGGGTCTACGAGCGGAAAGGTTCAAGACCAATGAGTTTGGGGAGCTTGTGAATAGACAGATTGGATATAGGACTGACGTGAATGAAATCTGATAGCGTTATAGAAGTTCTGGAGCTCTGACTCAAAGTCATTTCAGCCATTTCAGCACGTAGCATGCTGTTAGACATAATTCCTATTTGGTGCAAGACATGTAGAGTTCGGGTTTCCTAAGAGTTGGTGATAAATCCAAGAAATCGACGTCGCCGTTTTTAACTCCAGCGAGCTATGGCGCATTCCTGAGGCCTGCAGTGTTGTCCCCTGAAGCAGAACTACGAGGGTTGTCGGTGTCTGTGTACTCCCGCCTCGTACAGGCACATGAATGGGACATGAATGGGACATGTCCAAACCATGTCCAGACCATTCACATCAATTCACATCATCTTGCTGCAAAACGTCAATTAGGAGGCTGAGGCTAGTGACTACCCCATAGGATCCATGGTGCTGGTATATATGCTAACATGACTGGGGTATATTGATGGTAAATGTTACCATATATAGCATACATGGATCCTATGGGTACTGTAGTGGGTGTCATTGTGTGTCATGAAGGCGTGTCGTTTGCATGTTGTGTGTTATTTAAGGCACCACGGGGGGTTCAAAAACGGCATCCTTACAAAAAATTGGCACCCCTACGTGATGGCCAGTGATTGTTGCTGGCATTCCATGGTAATTGAGGGTATGAGCAACGGATTGCATACTTGCACGGCTCTCAAAATAGGTCCCTGTAAGGGGTGTGCAATAGAAGCCCCTTGAAGAATCAAAAACTACAACCCTTTGGGCGCCACTTAGAGGGACCTGGTATATCATAGTAATATAATATAATATAACATAATAATATATTATATACGTATATATATATAATAACATAATATTATTATAATATACATATATATATATATATATTAGATTGAATGATTCTGCACCGAAGAAGTCATGTCGTATTATCCGCCCCAGGCCTAGCAGTGGATCATAAGCCTGTTATCCCCAGAGACATCAATATCATCAATGCTCTTCAGGGCAAACATTCTCATTGCAACTCAACATAACTCACCGCAATTCTGGTTGGTCTAATCAGTCTACCCTCTGGTAAATTTAACATAACTATGGAAAATCACCATTTTCAATGGGTAAGTCCACTATTTCTATGGCCATTTTCAATAGCTATTTTGACATAACCAGAGGGTAATCCCTGAGTCAGCGATCTCCATCTCGACATCTCGAGACTATGCCCGGATGCGATGCCACAGGCGGGCGGATTGAAGCCTTTCATGCTCAACACGTCCTGTCCTTGGTGGAAGCTACGGGAAATTGTCGGGGGTCCCCGGGTCCCCCATGGTTGGTTCCCAACATATTTGCCCCAAGGTTGCTGAGGTTCCGAAATGAATTCATGAATAAAACCATGGATAAAACCATGGATAAAACGGGAGCTCAAAAACGGATCAATAAGCATGAAGTGGCTATTGGTCAAAACCCTGGCACCTAGTGAACCCCAAAATAGCTGGTAAATGGATGTTCATCCCATTAGAATTGATAATAATAGGTTTTGACCCACCCCCAAGTCAAGTTTCCTAAGCGCAGACATGGTGCCTAGGCAATACCGATCACATCCCAAATTGGCCGAGTTTTCAAGCAAGGCATTGCTGCGGATCTCTGGGAACACATGGGGATGGGTCAAAACCCTGGTACCGTGCCGTGAACCCCAAGTCATAGCTGGGATTTATGGATGTGCATCCCACTAAAAATTTGTATCTATAGGTATTGACCCATACCCACATGATTTGGCAGCAAAAAGATCTTGGACCGCCAGATTTCACGTTTCTTTCACCATGAAAGATTGGGCTATAATGTCAACCCCGGATTAATACACCATGATTTATTAATTAGGGGGGTATTCCCCCAATAGTCATAATCTGATACTTAAATGGTATGCCCCCAATTAAACAACCTAGGGGTTTATTAATCCAGGGTTGACATTATGGTGCATGTGGCAACTGAGAGTGAACTTGCCAGGCAGGTCGACTGAACTGTTCCCATGTGCAGCCTGTGCAGCAGGCCTTCTACGACGGCCTGCTCAAGAGCGGAATTGAGGCAGTTCAGGGGAGGAAGGCACTGGTCCAGATGAGAACCCATAGGATCCATGTATGCTATATATGGTAACATGGATCCCATCAATATACCCCAGTCATGTTAGCATATATACCAGCACCATGGATCCTATGGGGAATGATAACTATCCAACTTCGATCCAATGCGAGCTCAACAAATATCCAAAGACTTTCAGTATCCGCTGGCATTTTTTTGGGTTCAGTAAGCCTGTTCGGAATCTTCACTGATTGTTGTTTTTGTTAGCCGGAGTAATGCCATTGCTTCGCCCTGTTGGTTTCATAACGAATAACTTTGCTACATCCTCGAATTGGATGCCTGGGATATGTTTTTTCCCCAAATCTAGGTCAATCTTAGATGGATACAAACTTATCCTAACCAGTCTTTTGGTATCAATGGGAATATCTACATGTCACAGCAACGAATTTAATTTTTATCAATGTGTTTTTTTCCCAAACCATTTGTTTGAATGATTGCCATAACCCATAGGATCCATGTATGCTATATATGGTAACATTTACCATCAATATACCCCAAATGTTAGCATATATAGCATACATGGATCCTATGGGTTATGGCAATCATAGAATGACTGGGATATTATGAAAAATTGTCATTTTCCCAAAGGTTTAGATGACGAAGCGCTTACAGCATTGACCTGGACATGCCTAGGGCCTAGACCTTGGGATGGGGCTGGGTGTTCCCGCGGCCAGGCCACTCAACGTCTCTTGCCTGCGGGAGTGTGAGGAGCCTGGTTACAGTTAGCGCCAAAAAAACCGGCGCTTCCACTGGACATTCACTTCAAGAATCCTGGAGAAAACATGAGAAAACTGGTAGCCTCTGGTTATGACTAACATAATTAGCTATGGAAACATATGGAAACCATGGCCCATTTACAGATACCTCTTCCCAGCTACAGATACTCCATATTTATCATGGATTTTCCAGTTCGCTATGTCTGGTTTTAATGGTTTCGAACATTTTTTATTTTTCCAATTTTTTCCATATATTGGGAATAATAGGGAATAATAATCCCAACTAACTTTCATATTTTTTGGGAATGTCATAATCCCAACTAACGAACTCCATCATTTTTCAGAGGGGTAGGGCTCAACCACCACCAGGAAAATTCTGGAAGCACAGGGGCCACAGGGGATTTCCTCGAGGCCGTGGCCGAACAGCGAATGTCCCATAGCTTTCGTCAACGTGGATGCACAGGAGCGTTCAGCTGTGCCTTTTTTTATCCTTTTTTGGTGATGTTACATGTTGCCAGTGACCAATTCATGATTCATCTAGAATATTGTGGATTATTCATGATTATTGTGGATTCTTGATGAAAGAAATCTGGATTATTGCGGATGATTCTGGTATAGTGATGTGGTTTGGTCACGTTTTTTCTTGTGGGACAGCAGCATCACCACTTGCTGCAGGAAGAATTGGAGGGCGACTCCAAGGTTGGGCCCTACATCTGGCAAACTTAAGGAGCTGTCAGAGGCATAAGAATCAGTCAGATGATATGATATATCCTTCATATGTCCTTTATATATGTCCTTTATATGTCTCCTTATCTATTGTGCCATCCACTCTGGAAAGTTTCAGGGGTTTCCTAAGTCAAACAACCAGATTTGAATGGTTTGGAGGAGCTCTGTTCAAGAGGTCTGTCGATTACTGGCTGTATCTTGCCAGCGTTCGTATGCGATACTTTCAACCCATTGGCAGCTGAGCTTCTAGCACAGCAAAAGCAGCCAGCCAGCCATGTGCCCTTACCATTGAAAAAACACAAAAAAGTTGATAGAAATCTGTGTCCCAGGGTTCTGGTTTTCTGGTTGCGGCTGGTTTTCTTTTGACCACGGCCCCCCCCCAAATGATTGCAGATCATGGGTGGACAGCATGCTCCGAAGCTGAAGTGATTTGATCATATTTTGAATCATATTTCTTATTTGTTCATATTTCTTCCTTATTTCTCCTGTTGAACATTGATTCATCCGCTGAAAGTTTTTTTCGCGGTTCCTGGTTCCTTCCACATCAATCCCACAGGAAATGCGGTTGCGATTTGCGTCAGGCCAATTCAGTGGAAGCACAACTGCTTGCGAATGTGGTCGGCAAGGCTGGACCTGGGGACCATGTTGGGAGCCCAGCGGAATGTCCATTGGGACACCAAGATACCAAGTTGTTGGGCACTGTAAAATTCTGTAAACCTGGCTGAATTTCCATGAATTTCCTAGAAGTTTCTTACTCAAGAAAACAGTCTCTTGATGTTCCATTGCCATGCTCGAAGTACTGGAAGGCAGCTGAAGATGTTCCCACTGTCGTCCAGGTCTTTCAGCGGGGAGAGCTGAACGTCAGCCAGGCTTCGATGAACACTTTGAGCCGTTCCAGCGCAGAGTGTGTTTTTCTGAAGAAACCATACGAAAACCCGGTTAAACGTGTTACCCTCTGGTTATTTAACATAGCCATGGGAAATGACCCATTTATAGATGGTTTACCTATTAAAAGTGGTGATTTTCCATGGCTATGTTAAATAACCAAATGGTAACATCTGTTAAGACCTGTTACTGTTACATATCATATGCCTTTTATGATCTGTTATGCCAACTTCGGGACTTTCTTAAATCTTTTCGGGACAGGATTTCAGCTCTGATTTAAGCGCCAACTTGACATGTTGAGACACTGTTGGCACAGGTGGGTGTGGTGACGCCATACATGGCCCAGGCAACACCCATGATTACCGTTGCCACAGGGGGATTAGCTAAAGTGGATAAGAGTTGTTGAAACGCATTTCGACTGTGACGCATGATGACATGTTGCTTTCAGGATCTTCAACAAACTGGAGATCTCTATGAGTTCATAACTTGCAGTCCAAGGATGAACTATTATATAGTTGCCAAGGGGTACTTGAGCCGATTAAGTCTATGCCCTTGTCGTCATTGCCAATTTGATATGTATGCCCAAGGAGATTAGGCAGATGACCGCACACGCAAAATTCACTGCATTGCAGTCTTGAGCAGATTCGCAGATGTGTATGTTCATTCTACTACTCTGAAAACCATGGCATCATTCCCATTTAATGCGAACAAAATGGTGCTGCTATATTTCCAAACCTACTTAAAACTGGGTGATTTTAAGGACAAGGGCAGTCATGTTGGTATAGAAATATTCCAGCACCATGGTCCCATGGTTCCAGGGTCAAAAGCCGTGGTTATCCCAGGGTTTTGACCTTTTGGCTTGGCCCAGAGGCAAGCCGTCGTTCCAGCACGGTCAGGTCAGACGCTTGCGACCACTGCTTCGGTCGGCATGGGCGCCAAGAGAGAGATGTCACCGTGGATTGAATCTCTGTGAATCAGAGGCATTACCATCATTACCCTCTGGTAAACATACAAAAAACATCAAAAAACCATGGAAAATCACCATTTTCAGTCATTTTCAATGTGTAAATCCACTAACATAGCTATTGAAAATGACCATAAATAGTGGATTTATCCATGAATAGCATGGTGATGTTCAATGGCTATGTTAGTTTACCAGAGGGTACCAGAAGAAAATCAGTTGAAATAGACAAGAAAGAAGTATAGGGGTGTGCTTCTGGACCATTCCAAGTGGTTCGGAAGGGTGCCCTTGCGACGTGTTCCTCTGGTGAATGGCTTGGTACATGGCTTGGGTGGCTCAATGTTGAACAGATAAAGCTGCGGTGACAATTCCCCACATTTTCCCCACATGTTCCCCACATGTTCCCCACATGATTTAAGGTCTTTGAGAATACACGTCAGCAAAAAGGTCAGGATGAATCATTATATATAACTGGTTGGTGGTTTGGAACATTTTTTTTTTCAATAATATATGGGAATAATCATCCCAACTGACTTTCATATTTTTCAGAGGGGTAGGTATACCACCAACCAGATAATATGGCAAATGAAGTTTGCCAGATCAGATGGAGAAGATGTTAGAGCAGAACTCAAACCGACTCAGACTAGGTGTCAGAAAAAATGTCGCATGAATTGACGCGTCGCAAACGTCAGAATGAATGTCAGTTAAAACACGTCAGTTAATATATTATGCCGATCTGAAGATACTTCAGAATATATCAGACTACATGTCAGACTACAAACTAATTAGATGTTTGGGCGTTTGCCAGACTACATGTCAGACTACATGCATGTTTGGGCATTTGTCATAATATGCGTCAGACTACATGCCAGTGTTCATGTCATGGTATTATATGAATATATGTCCGGATGTATGTCAGGATAAGCATCCGAAGGTATTGCAAAATTCACTTATAAACATGATCTATTAAATGTCAGCATACATTCGCAGCATCATTTGGTGGCGATGATTTATGATCGTGATCACACGATTCATTTTTTGTTTGTACACATTTCAGACCACCAATCCATAGCCCTTCCCATGAAAACCTCCACCTTTCATGTTGTTTTCCCATTGCCACAATGTGGGGCCCCCCAGTAATAAGTTGGTTTAGATTCACCCCATTAACTGTAGTTATAAGATTGTTATAAGTACCATAAATCATATAGTTATTGGAGTTATTTGCACCAACTTAGCTATCCAACGGGGGCCCCACATTGCCAGGAGGGCGTAATCCTGAGGTCATTCCACACGGTTCGGACTTTCGCCTCTTAGAGTGCGCCTCTGTGGACAACTTCCAGGGACGTGAGAAGGCGGGGAAATTTTTGATTTGAAAAACGCGTCAGTTTCATACTGTGGTTGCGAAATCCCGCACCAGTTGATCACTGAAATTGGAGGTACCTACCATATATAAGGCCTATGTAAGGCCTATGTAAGGGAATATCCCCACAAAATATGGCCTTATATGGTACAGTACCTCCATTTTAGGATCCTGAAATTCCCATTGAGTTGATAGATGGATAGGGTCTCAACCATCCAAGGTGGTGTAGGATTTCGCAACCATCCACAGTATGATTGAAATTGATCATGTCAATTATGTTGTTTGGTGCTTCTGATGTTGATTTATTTTGCATGTTTTACTGAAGGCTGCAAGTTGAGTATGATGCTGCAGTTGGCTTTGTATTTGGGTTGGGTTCTCGTTGCTGGCCCACGCTGATTTGGCTGTGGCTGTGACAGGCTTGTGCTTTCGTGCATCGCAATGGGAAAAGCAACATGGTAATTCGTATTCATATTTGCCACAACTAATGTGCAATATATGAAATGTTTTGAAATGTCATGGTAATTCGCAACATCGCAATGGGAGAAGCAAAGTGTGACCACAACATGCCACAACATGCCAAGCCCAATCTCACAGATGAGATCGCGACACTGCCCAGGAGCTCATAGTGTTCTCTGCAGTGCGAAGCAATCGAGCAGGACGGGTAGCAATCGAAGACCGCAATCGATGTGAAGAGTTTGATGCAGAACGATTAATATGGACCCTTCCGGACCAATCCGGAGACAGGAAATGTTGGTTTCCTGGCTGACTGGCGAAGATTAAACGCTGGGATCCCTACGGCAGTATGTCTCGGGAAGGAGAAAAAACGTCAGCGATGACAAAAGGTTTGGTCATATTACGCAGCTTATGAATTATTTAATATGATTCCATATTCATCCATATTCACCCATATTCGATGTTTGCCGTTGAACAAGTTGTTTGAAGACTGTCATTGGAGCATTGTTTGCAAGAATTCCAAAAACAACAACTCCAGATCTTGTTAGATCGTCAGGTGATGTTGACGCGAGCACGTCGTGGATTGCTGATTTTTGGTAATGCTGCAACGTTGAAGCAGGACACCAAAGGGCTGATTTCCCACTCATGCTATTCTGCGTGAGTGTGTGTGTGTGTGGATGTTTTAATCCCTTGCCGCTGTGTGTTCATCCAGTATCAAGATGTATCAAGATGTATCAAGTGGTTTACGCTGACATGTCACTACATATGTTTATCTTGCAGTGATCTGCTGCTTGTGAAATGGGCACTGCAACTTTTACACCCAGTGTTGCCATTGTTGGGGAGGTTTGGTTTGTTGCACTTGGTGACATGTCCGTGAACTAGAGCACTGTAGCTGCTGAGAAAACCATCTGCATGTGTTTTTTCAGTCTTTTCTAAAAAGAGTACAGCAAAGTGACCATCTTTGTTGATATAATAGTCTACTATATATATATATACACTATATATACTATATATATACACTATATATATACTATAGATATATATACTATATATATACATATATACTATATATATAATATAGATGTATATTACTTATCACCATTCACTGAAGGAAGTAATACCTTTCCAACACAGCCGTCAGGATCCTCCGATTGGGAGAGGATCCTGACGGCTCAGAGACGTGGTGCTGTCGCCTGCAGGACCCCACTTGGCAAAAGTGGTTGGCCTTTGCCGAGCAGCACGACTGCATGGTAGCATTCCCAGGTTGAATGTATCACACCAACGAGCTCATGGTGCTGACAACATGTGCTGGTGTGTGTGTGTGTTTATAAATTAATTACGAATCATGATGTCATTTCACAGCTTTGCCATAATATGTTGGTATACTATGTTGACATAATTATTATGTCAACATAGTATACCAACATATTATGGTAAAGCTGTGAAGCAATAAGAACTGTGACCTTTGGGGAAATTGATGTGTGCCATGTGTTTTTTTATCAGACCCTTTGGATGGAAAGCTCCTAGGTCAAAGATCTGCCAATGCCACAGGTGTACTGCAAGGGATCACCTTTGCTTGAGCCTTACAGACTGTCCAAGGATTGTTGTTCCTGTTCCGGCAACCAAACAGCTTTCATTTGATCCATTTTGTATTATTTTATATCATTTTATATCATGTCCATTCATGTCTATTCATGTCTTATCCTTTTTGAAACTGGTTGATTCGTTGATTCTTCAACCAGAAGCCATGGCATTTTTTCCCAAGCCATGCCGGCCGCTGGTGATTTTTTGGACCGCCGCCTCGTTGCAAGGTGGCTGGGCAAAGGAAAGCCTGTCGCTCCGCTGAAGCTGGATGGTCCTGGTCTGATTTTTATGTGGAAATTTTCGTTGGAAAAACCCATTGGACCATGGTTTCGTTTAGGGGCTGTTGAAACTATTAACTATTAGATATATATATATATATATATTAGACACAGACATAAGAAATATTATATATATACCCATGACGGATCCGGCTGGTGCTGGTATATAATTATGCTAACATGACTGGGGTTTTTGTTGATGGGATCCATGGAGCACCATATATAGCAGCACCATGGATCCTATATTTGGGATATATTATATATATATATATTAGACATATTGGAAATATAATATATTAGACATATTATGGCATATATTAGATCTATTAGGGGGATGGGATGAATTACAACATGTTTTTTCGTTCAGATCGTTTTTGTTGACCATGTCAGGTCATGAAAGGCGTCCCAGTCGTTCGACCAGTTGGACCAGTTGGATCAGTTGGAGCAGTTGCAGGCGGGAGTGGAGTCTTCAAGGTTGGAAGAATCAGGCTAGTCCCCATTGGTTATGTCAAAATAGCTATTGAAAATGGCCCAATCGAAATAGTGGATTTTCCCATGAAACATGGTGGATCTTTCCATAGTTATGTTAGTAAGAGGATGGTTGAAAATGATAGGATCTAGGGCGTCTAGGGCCCTAGGGGACCACTTATACCACTTATTGCTGCAATACTGGTAGCCATAAATTGGTAACTCACTATCATAAACTCACCTCTGGGCCAAACCTCTGGCGTCCATGATCTCGGACTGGCTCTCGTTGTTTCAGCAGCTACACGCTGTTGAGTGATGCGGGATGCTGTATGAAGAATTCCAATCTGCAGCATTTATGGTTCAGCAACCCTCATATCAATGGCCTATGTAAGGGAATTTCCCCACAAAATATGGCCTTATATGGTACAGTAGCTTAAGTTTTGGGTTCCTGAAAATCCCATCGATTGGCTCGTGAATTTCTACTCAATTGCTGCCACACCAGGCCGCAATAGTGTGCTGGCTGCAGCACAGGCTGCGCGAGCAGCAGCGGAGGTGCCACGTGTTTGAAATGGAACAGATTTGAAAGCACTGCACTATGCTATGCTTCTGAATAGAGTGAATCACAAGATATTCTGGCGAAAGCTTGTAGGCTCTGGCCACGGGGCAGGGCCACATTCAATGGACGCATGTGGATGACAAGAACATGACACTGTGATAAAGTGCTGCGGAACGGGGCCCGGGTTACTTTTGCCCCTTCCCGAAGACTTAGTCACTTAGTCTTCCCAGTAATTGACCTATTTCTAGGATCATGTTTGGGCTATTGTCACTTGTGCCAAAGCATCAGTTTTTTGGTGTTTTCGGCCGCTGACTGCCACAATGTTTCCTTTTTTTTCTCTGGAACGGTTTGTATATTCTTGGGTCACAAAGGGCCGTGTTGGCAGAGCTGGTATTGGCAGCGCATGGCAGGAGCGCAAATTGTCAATATCAGTGGTGGTGAACTACCCTCTTTTGATGGCGTGGAGTTCTATTATGTTCTATTTTTCTATTGAAGTACATATCCCATGACGGATCCATGGTGCTGCTATATATGGTGCTCCAAGGATCCCATCAACAAAAACCCCAGTCATGTTAGCATATATATATATATATATCATACATGGATCCTATGGGTATGGGATATGGTTGCTTGCCAGTGCTGTTCTGACCGTAGCGTTTTTTTTTTTACTTACGCACGGCTGTTCTGCATAGCACTAGCAGCTCAGTTGTGCCAGGTCACAGCAGGCTTGCAACGCGGCGATGATGCTCCCTCGCCTCCAGAGGTGCTATGAGCCGATGAAGAAAGTACTATTCCCATAGGATCCATGTATGGTATATGTGAATGGTGATTTTATGGTGGTTTAATGGTGATCAAATGGTAGTTACCCTCTGGTAAACATACAAAAAGCTATTGAAACTGGCCATTGAAATAGTGGATTTACCCATGAATAGCATGGTGATTTTCCATAGCTATGTCAACGTTTACTAGAGGGTATTGGCTTTGCCAAGGAAAAGAATGGGACCAACCCATGACGGATCCGGCTGGTGCTGGTATATTAATGCTAACATGACTGGGGTATATTGATGGTAAATGTTACCATATATAGCAGCACCATGGATCCTATGGGCAAGGCATCACCAGTATTCAAGACAGTATTCCGACATATTTCCATAACTTGTGGTTCCCTTTCGAGCTTTCTGACTTCGCTGTCAGGTCTGCCTTGGGTACCAAGCAGCTTTCCCACGGCCCTTCATGTGGCTCGGAGTTTCTCGTGGGTTCAGAGCCCAACGCTATCCAAAGCTGGTGTTGAAATAGAACTTCACAAGGCTAGATCAGACATGTGGTGACTACGTTCTGCGGCGCTGGAAAATTACTTAAAACATGGTTTCCCAGCTGGCCAGTCCCACATAGCCCCACAAGGTCTGAAAACGACATCTTTGAAAACTATGGTTGTCTTGAGGGTTTGTTGCTGGGAAAAGAATAAGCATGAGGGACACATTCAATCACATTCATACTATCTCCAAGTCAATGTTTCAGAATATGTTAAGACATGTTAAGACACTCTATTCTCCATGATTTCAATGTTCATGCTAAATGAAAAACAATGCAAGTTTTAGAGATTACGAAAGCTAGCTTGTGCTAGCTGAAGTTGCTCTTGCTTTAGGCCTTTAGCCAGGACCGTTGGAAACGCTGAAACTTTCTAGGAAACGACCCCCTCCCCCCCTGGTCCCCCTGGACTCCCCTCGACCCTTCTGGGATGCCCCTGTACCTGCCCCTGGACCATGGGTTGTCATCTCAATAATTCATGTTCAGCATTTCATCGTCAGCAGCTGCATCACCATCATCAGCTGGTTTTGGGCAGGTACAGGTTTCGACTCTACGTCTTTATCTTCGCCTTCTTCATTTTCATCTTCTTCTCTAGCATTCTCATCATTGTTGCCGTCGTCGTCATCGTCGTCGTCCTCATCATCATCATCATCATCATCATCAGCATTATCATCAAATTCATCCCCACCCCATCATCGTCATCAGTTCATCAGTTTAGTCTTGCAGCTGCACAGTCTCCGGTACAACATTAGTAGAGTCCTGCTACCTTTCGCACCTCCCCCTGGCCTCAAGTTGAATCTCACCCCGGATGTTTTCCAAACCACTGTTTCAGCTTGCCGGAGCGAGCCCCTTGGCTCAGTCCCAAAAAATATTTAGCAGTTCCAAGACATTCCAGGTGTTTCCTGTTCCGAGGAACAAAGAGTAGACACGCTATGAAAAAACGGGCGCCCAAGATAAGGTACAGATAGCTACAGTATGTGGAAAGAAAGAGTTGCAGTAGATTGAACCTGCGGTTGCCCATGTTGCAGAAATTGTGTAGTAGATCTAGTAGGTTTAATTGAATGATTCACGACTTGCTACTCAATTCGACTGACTTTGAACCATATTTTCCATATATACTTGAGGCCCATGCAAGATCAGCAAAGTCAGATGCAAAGGCCAGCTTCACGCAATGATGTGTCAGTTTCTGGAGGCACTCCAGTTGAAGCTTTGACGTAGTTCCTTTTTCTCTTTGTTGCCCATTGGAACGAATGCGTTGGAAGCAGATTGTGCTGCGTCCACATGCCGTGACAGTGTCATTCCAGTTCCGAAGGATCATCAGAAGCGAGCTCCTGGGGAACCCGAAGACGATACAGTAGCATGCCAGGATAGATGCCAAATAGAATGTCAGAATATATGTCAGATAGATAGATAGAATGTCAGATGGAGTCTCAGATAATATGTCAGTTTGAATGCCAGCTCAAGTGCCAGAAAAAATGTCAGATAAAGCGTCAGACAGAATGTCCAAAAATGTCAGATAGAATGCCAACATATTTGTGAGGTAGAATGCCAGATAGAATGTCACATAGAATGCCAGAGAGAATGCAAAACAACATGTCAGAATATGTGTTTCAAAGCATGACAGAATATATGTCAGATAGAATGTCAGTATAAATGTCAAATAGAATCATGTCAGTTGGCGGGGATCACTCTAAGAAAGTCATGTTTCATTGGTCCGCTCGGATCTTACAAAAGCCAGAGAGATCAAAGAGTTTTTCTTCTCTAGGAAGCGCGAAAGATCAAAGAGATTCAGAGAGCACAAGGTTTCTGTTTTCAATGGATTGGATGATGGGAACATTTACAGGAAAACCCCATATTTAATGGTTTCCTGTAAATTTTCCCTTAAACCAATCCGTTGATGTTTGGGTCTCAAATAGCATCATATGTTTTGACCTTTTTCAATTCGATTCGGAGTTTGGATTCGATGCAGGCAACTTGACGAAGAACTCCAGCAGTGTCGAAGCTGCAGAATGAAGGGAGAGATGGGTTTAGCAAGCTGTCATAGACGGTTCTAGTCTGGTAATCACTTGTTTTTTCACAAAGGAATATATAATATGTTTGGCGAGGACAAATAGATAAACTCAATGGCACAATGTTCTCGTTTCAAGACAACTTGTTTCGTTTGACCCTTGAAATCACAGATACGTTTTTTTTGGCAACGCAGAGGATTTCGATGAAGCCCGGTGCCAGAGGAAACCCACCAGAGAAACGCACCAGAGTCACCATGGAAACTGAGGCTAACGAGTTTGGTGACTTGCCAGCTTTTGGGCAAATTTGTGAAGCTGGAGGGTCAGAGCTAACGTGTAGGGCTTGATATTATGTAAGGTGATTCAATATACTACAAAACATGGTATGTTACTAATAATCTAACATCATAGTACTGTATCACTATAGTTAAATATATGATTATAGTAATAGATATCCATAGATTTTATAGTCAAATCAGGTACGTCAGCTTTGTGTTTTCGTTCTTTTCGTCATGTTCGTTTTGATGGATTTTCTTGCGGATCCAAGGAGTTGCAAATGAAGCATCAACAGCAGCAGCTGCAACAGAAGCAGTTTCAAGCAGCACAGCTTCTCTTTGCACCTTGGCCGCCGGCCGCTCCGTTGAAGGAACGCTTCGTTTTCAACGAAATCTCTTAGAAAAACTGGAAGAGTTCTGCTATGAATGGCTGGTGGTGACTGGAACCATGGAATTTTGAATGACTTTCCATATATTGGGAATGGAATAACATCCCAACTGACGAACTCATTTTTTCAGAGGGGTAGGTATACCACCAACCAGATGGTTACATACCTATTGCAACATGTTTTTGTTTGATGCGATGAATCACGAATGATTCAGGTAAGGAACTAAAGCCTGTCTAGTCACAAAGCAGCTTGGACCAAGACCAAAGCCGCCCGTAGCCGCCCGGGAACATGTGCTCATATTTATGTTGCTGCGAAGCCCAGAGCACAGCAAACACAAAGTGCGAGGCAAGTAACAACATATACACCATCACATTCTCTATAGTGGTTCTATAAATTTCATAAGACTATAATACATCATAGTAGATTATTCTATAACTATGAATTCATAGTAGATGGTTCTATAACCCATAGGATCCATGCATGCTACATATGGTAACATGGATCCCATCAATATATCCCCAATGTTAGCTTATATATACGTATACCAGCACCATGGATCCGTCATGGGTAATGGTTAATATCAATGGATTGGTTTAGTTGGGAAAATCTTAACCGGAAACCATCGATTTTCCCATTCAATTAATGGGGCTGAAACCTGTAAATTTTCCCTTAAACCAATCCATTGATAATAATAATAATGGTTAACATCATAGTAGATTATTCTATAACTATGAATTCATAGTAGATGGTTCTATGATGGTTAATACATGTTAATAATGGTAGAAGTCATTTTTTTCATCACAAAGTTCACAGTCGCGTCATCTCCACGTCATCTCCGCTCCCAACGTTGCAGCAACGTTAGGTGCATCCCATCATGGGGCAGGTGCAGATGCAGCAGATCCAACAGGAGATACGGCAGGTTTTCTAAGTGCTGTGATGAGTGCCAAAAACGCCAAAAATCTATGAATGTTTGGTGTTTACATAAGTATACATAAACTGATATTGTTGTTCTATCTATATTATATATAATATTACATATATATATAATATAGATATTATATTACACACACACATATATATATAATACACCCTCAGCTTCCAAACCCGACAAAAGCCTTGCCAGGAGAACTCAGAGCTTCAACAACGCTGGACAGAGTACCTCGGAATATCGGAGTGATTCGTACCCTTCGTGTTGGGTGCTTTACATCATCCACGTGCAACAAAAACAACGTAGCATTTGGTTATGACATGACTAACAGTTCGCCATGGAAAGATCCACGATGCTATTTTCATATGTAAACCATCTATTTCGATTAGGGCCATCGACAAACCATGGCGAACTGTTAGTCATAACCAGGCCGGGTAGATGAATGATGTTTTTTATGGTCATGTAGCATAACTCAGTCGACTGGCTGCAGGATTGGACAATCGTGGACATCACATTGCGGGAATGGAACTAATATTGACAGAGTTGTTACAACCAAACTTCGGAGATGCTGTTTATAAAAGAGAACATTTTCGAAAGCTAGTAGGGCAGCTAGAACATGGTCTGAAAGACTAAGGCTGGAGACGCAAAAATCTCGCCTTCAGGAGCTGCGAAGATTGAAAGTCACTGTGCCACATAAATCGGATGCCTCTTTTCGTCAAAACATGTGAAACAATTGACCTGCGAACCATAGCTTTAATTTGTTCATCGTCCATTTTTGGCTGCCAAGTTACTATTCCATACGATACATACAATCATATATAATCATATATAATCATATATATATATATATATGTATATATATAATGTATATGTATATATATATACAATATTATAAGGAGGACTTTGTTTTAGATGATTTTCCATTTAGTGATTCGGTTTTCAAATTTGCCACTGATCTTTTCCCATCTTTTTTTCTGGAGACCCGCAAAAAAGTCGTGTGCCGAAGCTGGAAGGATTTGGTCGCTGACTCACAGACTCCATGCAGCAGCCCAGTTCATCCCAGTTCCAAAACATTATTAGAAACCCCAAATTCAATGCAGCTGCATGATATTACCCTCTGGTAAACATACAAAAAACTATTGAACATGGCCATAGAAATAGTGAGTTTTCCCATTAAAAAAGGTTATTTTGCATAGCTATGTAAACGTTTACCAGAGGGTACATAGTGTAGAAGCATGTGGAACCTCAGATTTTGCTTTGAAACACAGGACTACACTTTCACATGATATATATATATATATATGATATGTGTTGAGATTTGTGCTTAAATCGGCCGGCAGGCGAATCATTTCAAGAATGTTTGGAGGGATTAGCACTGCAGTTTCTAGATCGCGGGCGCTGTAGATCGGATGAAACCACCTCCGGGAACTCCTGAGGATTCCGGATTTTTCAAGATATGACAAGGAATGATTGCCTTTTGTTTATGTCAATCGATTGTATCAATCAATTACCGTTATTTGTGGCTGATCCCAACAATCCAGGAGCGGAGCCAAGCAGTGAAAGCCACTGTGTCTCTGTGCGGCAGCAAGGGGCATCAGGAAATCATGAGCAAATGAACAAGAGAATTTGTTGCAATCTCTTGAAAAGATCATGGAGATCCTGGGACGAAACAAGAACAAGACTTTTCACTGTAATTTGGGATAGCGTCATCAAACTGAACATATTTATGCTGGAACGGATCCAGGTAGAGGATCAGAGTTCACAAGCCTAAGCATGTTGATGGCAGACTTCACGTGTTTGCCGGTAACCTTTCTGATGAATAGTTAACAAATATGTTTAAATATGTTTAAATATGTTTAAATGCCTTTCCATTCTTAGAATTTTCTGTGCCCAACACCTCCGGCGGCTTATGGTGGGTGGTTCGATTTTTCTTCAACGCTTTCAGCGTGAAAGTGGCCTTTGCCGGGGCGGGTGATTAAGGGTCCATCTAAGGGATGGTTGGATGGTTCGGGATCCCGTTTGAAGACATCAAACGCTGCACTCCTTCGACTGTCGGGTTGAAGAAAAATTACCAAGGTGCAACTCCGGCTGTTCCAGCAACAACTTTGCTCCGCACTTGGAGTGTGCTCGGGACTCCGGAGTGTGCAGTAGGGTCTAGTTAGGGTCGTTCTGATGATGTTCCCGAAATCATTGACAGAGATGCCAGTCCGAAGAGATCTAAGAGATGCTGAGAAGATCATGAACAATGATCACATTGGCGTGCTTTGGAGGTAGACTAGCAGCGTTACCCCTCTCCTTTTTTCAGAGATAGGGCGATACCCGAGGCGGAGCAGATGCAGATTGAGAAGTTGCTGGAACAACAATTGGGCTTACCGGGTGGCAACAACCGCACGCATTCCCAGCTGAAAAGACACGAGATCCATCGAGATTCAATTTTTGTCATGAGTCGCTGGAAAATATATGGAGGCTTAGTAGAGAATGATGCTGTCAGACTCCCGGAGTTTTCATTTCCGAAGTTGAGAGGTACGTAAACCATCCTAAACTGACCTCAGTTTGGACCCATGAAAATGATTCAAAACGGTCTGGTCTTTATTCGCTCCAAGTGGGCACCATTAGTGGTTTGCTTGGATCCTTGATGTTCGAGAGTACAGGTAAGACATTCTCAATTTCTGCGCTCATTGAAGTGCCGTAAACGCAGGGGTGGGCGCATCACTTTTCATTAGTTTTTGCCTTATTCGTGATGGAGGAACTCCTGTACTGATTGACTTTCCAAATGACTTTCTAGAAAATAGATGAAAATAGTGTCTACTTCTGCAAGTTCTGGCAGTTAAATGTGCAGCATCAGTTTGTTTCCTCAGTTTCATCCCATCTGCTTGTGGCAGCACACCCATCGTCGGCTCAAATCGTCGTCGCATCGAAAAACACGACGAGATGGGGCTGCTCCGACGTTCCGCGGTGCGCTTCAAGCACATCTACGCAGCAGGCCTGGTGCGCAGCAAGACAAATATGACAAATATGACAAATGGTCAAAGAAAATGAAACAAGCAACGCAGCAACCTGCGTTTTGATGAAGGTAGATTGAGCACAATTTGGCGTGGCCAAGTGTCAAATTTTCTCATTTTTTGATCAATTCCCCAGCCCCCACCATTTCTGGGCAGAAAAGACACGCCTTTCCCAGGCGACAAGCAGTACGTGGGTTGTTGGGAGGCACCGCTGCGCTGTATGTGTTATCCTCCGCACTCGTTCTTGTTGCAAGCGAGAAACCATGCATATATATATATATATATATATTATGTATATGTATATGTATATGTATATTATATTATATTATATGATATCATATTATATTATTATATTATATTATTATATTATATTATATTGTATTATATTATATTGTATTATTATATTATATTATATTGTATTATATTATATTATATTGTATTATTATATTATATTATATTGATATTGTATTGTATTGTATTGTATATTGTATATTGTATATTGTATTGTATTGCATTTAGAATACGTTTTTATTATACACATATATATATATTATTATATGTATATTATAATGCGTATATATATATATATATGCATATCTTTTAATGAAGATACCTGATACATCTCGAGCCATTCAGTTTTGTTCTCAGTTTCTCCTCGACATTTTGATCTTTTTGGGATCCAGCAGTCCCAACAGCCGAACGATGTGCAGATGATTCCTCCAACCATGGGCACAGCCTTGGGACCAGTGAACTATGGAGCTCGTACACCTGTTCCCAAGGAGCCGGGACCGTGGGACGTCCATGGCATGCCATGGCTGTGTGGACACATATAATGGAGGCTGTGTGTACCAAGATGTACTATACTATACTTAATTAGGGGTTGACATTGTAGATTATAACTAATAATTATAAATATATACCATATTTGGTTGCTGGTGACTGGAACCATGGAATTTTATGACTTTCCACATATTGGGAATGTCATGTCATCCCAACTGTTACTCACTCCATCATTTTTCAGAAGGGTAGGGCTCAACCACCAACCAGAACGTCATACATTGTCCCTTTCCCATGACGGATCCATGGTGCTGCTATATATGGTAACATTTACATACATTTACCATCAATATACCCCAGTCATGTTAGCATTAATATACCAGCACCATGGATCCGTCATGGGTTTAACATCTTTTACCATGACGAATAACGCCATTCGAAACGTCCGAGATGGGGCGCTTCGTGACCTTGTGGGCTCATCGTGGGCGCTCGAGGACTGGGTACTTCGAGGTAGTGGCATCCACGGCCCAGAGAACGGTGAGGCGCAGGGAGGGATGCTACAGATTTGAAGATTTCTGAAGGAAAGCCAGGTGTATTAGGCCGAATATGGCAGAATCCAGATACGCTCTGCTTATGTCAAAATAGCTATTGAAAATGGCCCAATCGAAATAGTGGATTTACCCATTAAAAACGGTGATTTTCCATAGTTAAGTAAACGTTTACCAGAGGGTATATCCAGATATATCCAGATAATCCAGTGCCAGCCATTCAGCTCAAGATGTTCCTCAGTGGGACGCCAATCAGGTGATGAAGTTGGCTCTGTGGAACCGCCTGAAGCAGAAGCGTCCACAACGTCATGTCACGACGGCCGAGTTGCAGGAATACTTTCGCATGGAGGCACGGAACATGGGAAAAAGATGGAAACAGATGGAAACATCATGAGAAATAGTTGCCTCATGCGGTCGAGAAACATGAGAACATCTTCCAGAAAACAACGAAGACCAAGTCACAAGGAAGGTCTTTGAGGAAGTTCCAGGAGATTCGCCTAAAAACAGTTTTTTCAGGCCATGATTCTTCAGGTGACACATGTACAGGATCCAGGTCCATGGGGGCAGTGAAGTGAATTTAAGTACTCATTTCTCAATATTTTGCTGATGGTGCTACAATGGTATGACATCAGCAACAATGATTGCATCCTACTGCCTACCACCTCCTGTTTTCCTGATCGCTCAAAAACCATCTAACTGTGCTGCTGCTTGTTACGAGACCCAAAAACCATCCTATCCATCAGCCGTTGTGAAAGAACCCGCCGCAGATTGCCACTGTTTGGTGGATGTTCGGCTGTGTCTTCTTTGTGGCGCCATTGAACTGGTGGGGCAAGAAATACCGCATCTTGGAAGGGAAATGAGGTGCTTCCAGCTGCTTCTTTTGGCACGAGACGGCATGAAGTATGCAATCTTCTAAAAAATATTCTGCATATGCTTGCGCAGTAGCGGCTAGGCATACCTTGCAGAATCGTGTAAAGACTTTTTTCTTGGAAACATTCAATGTGATCAATGTATATCAACGTGTCCTCGTTGTTCATTCTTGAAGCAAGATATTTCAAGTTGACTAACACCCATAGGATCCATGTATGGTATATATGCTAACATTGAGGGTATATTGATGGGATCCATGTTACCATATATAGCAGCACCATGGATCCTATGATACATGCAATGTTTTTCAGAAATCTGGTAATTCGTGGGTATCATAGAATTGGATTATGGGAAAATTTACAGGAAAGCCCTATATTTGATGCTAAAAACCCATGGGTTTCCTGTAAATTTTCCCTTTTTCACCAATCCAGTGAGGGTATCATCCAGTTTTCTGGACATCTCTGGATAGATCCTGTTGAGCCATGTTTTTCGCCATGTGGAGCCGAGGTATGGTCCACGATCACTACCCTTGGTTCCCCAAGCGTATCGACGGTACTCGCGGCGTCGGGTGCGCCACGGCAGTTTTTCGCGACGGTACCGTCGTTGGGAGTTGGAGTTTCGGAGTTGGAGTTTCAGATGTGCAAAAAGGATCAGGTGCATCAACCATCATTAACCTCTATGATCTCTATGTCTCCAAGTCACATAGCTACTGGGTGACCAAAAATGCATCGATGCACTTAAAATGTCAAAGAATTCGAAGGATTTGTCTGAGACTTGTGAGTGCTTCCCAGGCATTGTGCTTGATGCAAATAAGGACACAAGTCGCAGATGCATCCATTTCATGGTTGTAAAGACATCAAGGAACAATGTTTGAGTGTTTGGATGTTTATTCGGATAAATTTTGGATAAACCCTGAATATGTCCCTAACATTCTGGTCATGCTTGTAGTTGGAGATTGAATTTTGTCATGTGGGCAGAGTAGAAGGTTTTCATGCATGCAAAAAAAACATGATATGAAGGGTACTTGCTGATTCTTTGCTTCAGGCACATGGCATGTCGCACTCATTTGATCTCATTTGTATCGTTGTTGACTGGCAGTTTGCAGTGAGAATTTTGTGTTTGCCAAGACCATACGCCTGGTTCTTCGAGTGAGCTGGGACAATCTCCGCGGCCCATGACCGACGTTCATTTTTAAAATGGCGACCTGGAGTGATGAACATCAGCTCCATGCCACCTCAATTTTGAGGTGGGTACCAGGTTTTCCAGGTTTTCCAGGTGTTTTTTGTTGGCGGATTCAATGATTTTGATGGGATTAGAGGTAATCTGGTTTGTGGTTTGGAACATGAACGGATTATGACTTTCCAAATATTGGGAATGTCATAATCCTAACTGACGAACTCCATCATTTTTCAGAGGGGTAGGTATACCACCAACCAGTAGTGTTCCAAAGTTGCTGGGTCATTTTCGATGCTATCAAAAGCATTAGGCTTCAGCTTGTGCCAGCCTTCAGCTTATTTCAGTGAGGTGGACGTCGGTCAAGATGCGGTACTGGTTCTCGCCGCAGCAATAATCCTAAGCGTTAGATTCTTCCGATACATGGGTTGGAGACACGTTAAAGTTGAAATGTTAGTGGGAAGTAATATTAGTGCACATGCGTACCAATATCTCTAGTGTATTTGTTTGTTTGTTTTTTTGAAGGATTCGATGGAGAGCTTACCGAATGTGCTTGCAAAAGATTCATCGAGCGGCGGGAAAGAATCCAGGTACAGATGGTTTTGGTTCGGGTCAATTCATGGTCGGGTTGCTTTCCTACCAGTTGCTAATCATCATCACACACACAAACGCTGATCCAAGGGAGGTGGCAGGTGTGGAGGAAACTTCACCAATGTGCATCTGAGCCTTGTGCAGATGGATTGCTTCAGGGTGCAGGGTAGAAAAACGTTAACCCCCACAGTGTGAGTTTTGTGGTGCTGACATGACGCTAAGCCATGCTAAGCCCATTTCTGACTGGCTTGGGTGGATTTTTGTAGGGCTGGGCTCTGTTGTTCCAGTGCTGCAAAGCCTTGATGGTTCAATGATGCAATCACTGACCGCAGCTGCAGCTTCAGCAACACCGGTAAGACGCCAAGCTTGCGGCAGGATAGAAATGGCTGACCCTTCATTGCTTATCCTCTGGTAAACGTTTACGTGACTATGGAAAATCACCGTTTTTAATGGGTAAATCCACTATTTCGGTTGGGCCATTTTCAATAGCTATTTTGACATAACCAGAGGGTATCCTTTCAGATACAGCAACGCAGGCTTCTTTGGAACGAAGTCCAGAGATCAATTTTGGAATCTGTGGACACGCCACTTGCACCATGTTTGCTGATGGGTGCTGCCTTGGCAGCAACAATTGTCACCTGGCAGCAAATTGAGATGCAATAGATTAGATCCATGCCTTACTCTGCAGCTGAAGAGATCAATTGGGTATGGGTCAATACCTATAGATACATTTTTAGTGGGATGAACATCCATTTACCAGCTATTTTGGGGTTCACTAGGTACCAGGGTTTTGACCCATCCCCAATTCTCAATAGACCAATAATGTCAACCCTGGATTTGTTTAATTGGGGGCGGGTACCATTTGAGTATCAGATTATCACTCCTTGGGGAATACCCCCGTAATTAACAAACGATATACTGTAGTTTATTAATTAGGGGTTGACATTGTAGATTATAACTATAATAATTATATATATATATACCATATTTGGTTGGTGGTTTGGAACCATGGAATTTTATGACTTTCCATATATTGGGAATGTCATCATCCCAACTGAAGTCATTTTTTCAGAGGGCTAAGGCGAAAAAACACCAACCAGATATTGGTTGGCTGAACTGAGACATGTTGCGGATTGTTGCTGTGTTTTTAGCGTTAGATCTTGGATATTTAGTCCTTGAGTCCATGAGCACTCTGAGGTTTGGAGCAGTGCAGTGGCTTCACCCGACTTCTGGAAGGCCGGTCACATGGATTGGTGTAGCGTGGATGCTTCAGGGAAGATACATTGACGATGTGCAGTGCTTTTCTACACTTACAATACGCACATGTTTTATATAATGTATATGGCTATACATACATAATATATATATATATATAATTTTGTATAATATATATATATATATTAATATAACATATATATATATTGTTCTGTGGTCTTGACTACATATTGACATATTGCGGTTAATTGTTGTAGTTATCCTCTGGTAAATTAACATAGACCCTGAACATGAGATGGTTGTAGTGGAAACTAGTCTTCCAACCAAAAAAATTGGGCAGGGTCTATGCTAGTTTACTGGAGGTTATTCATAGATTCTGCAGATGTTTGGTACACCACCCTTACCCTCTGGTAAACTAACATAACTATGGAAATCACATTTTTTTATTGGAAAACTCACTATAAATGGCCAGTTTCAATAGCAATTTTGACATAACCGGAGGGTACCACCGGAGGGTACGGAAAAAATTGCCGCAGGCGGATCCTTGCGATGCAACCGCAGCTCTGGAGGATCTGGGATGGCTGCAGCAGCAGCTTGGTTGCTTTGTAAACCTATCAATGGATTGGTTTAAGGAATTTCTTTACAGGAAAGCCCACTTTTTTATTACCAATATTACCATGCATTTAATGGATTTCAATGGGAAAATAACGATGGTTTCCGGAGTTTCCGGTGAAAAAAATATCCCAAGAAACCAACCCATTGTTACTATGTTCATACGTGTTTTTTTTCCTGCAGAAATGTCACGGATGCTGTGGATAGCTGAGCTGTGAAGGTACATCAAGATCGGTTTCTTCACAGACTACCGAAACCAAGCCTGGCATTATTATTCCACCAACGAGACAACTTACGTGCCTTGGCTGGTTTTTTGTTCCTCTGAAGGGAATAGGATGCATTGAATCATCCACCTGTTTGCGCCTCACTGCTGCTGTTTTTTCTTAGACACAGACAGACACATAATTTTTCACATGCTTTACAACTGTTGTTGTACCAGTACCAGTTCATTCATGACTATGATTTCGCCGCAGTTTTTTCAAGGCATTTTTGCCAACTTACGGTTACTGCGCAGCCGCCTTTCATGGATTTTGTTGTCTAAAGAGAGGAGCCACAACTAAGGATATCAAGTATTAAACAATAATTAAACATATATTTTGTCATTCCATAGGATTCTGTAGGTATTGCTCTTGGCGGACTTTGTTTTTGGTGGATGAAAGATGGTCAGAGGCTTCCGCAGATCTTAAAACCTTGGTACAATGGGGACTCTGAGGCGTTTCTATGGCTGAACTCGATCTCCTACGCCAACTTAGATTTTCTGCGTGAGGCTGTGCCGGATGTGCCGCAAAAGAATGAGAGTCGTTTCAAAACGGTCGTTAAATCCGCAACTGACCTCAACTTCCAAATATTTCTACCCAGATTCTGCGTTTCACTTATTTACTGTATCTTATTTGGGACGACACGAGAGCCTAGAATTGGGCCTAAAAGCTTCAAGCTCTGCACATTGCTGGGTCTATGTTGGGCTAGGCAGATGGCAGACATTCCGTCAGCATCTGTGTCGCTTCGAGATAGCCATGGTGGAGTTTTCCCATGAAAATCCCATCAAAATCCTCAGCCACGACTTGGCAGGCCTGCCCAGAAGCTGCACAGCTAGCACTTCTACTGCGAGCTGAGGATTCTGGTGAAGCTCTCAAACTTAACTGTTGACGAGCGGATGAAACGGTAATTGAAACGGGATTGTGGTTTTTGTATAGTTCCCATAGGATCCATGTATGGTATATTAATGCTAACATGACTGGGGTATATTGATGGTAAATGGTACCATATATAGCAGCACCATGGATCCTATGGGGTTGATTACCCTCTGGATCCCTCTGGTAATTTAACATAGCGAACTGGAAAATCACCATTTTGATTGAATGGGTACATCAACGAACGAAATCACCATTTTCAATAGCTATGTTAAAATTCCAGACAGTACATGATGTTACATGTGCCAGGGCTCTAATGTTTTTCTCAAAACAACTGACACATTCCCTCAATTTTTTGTGGCGACTGACGGGGCCAGGAGCGATTGCCAGCGCGAGAGGCGGAGCTACCTTTCTTGGACTTCAGCGAGGTCGCGTGTGATCCCCTACAGTGGCCTATACCTTATCTATATTCTGACATTCTATTTGACGTAAATTCTGCCATATATTATATTAATTATATTATATATATTTTCTGACATCTGGCATTATCTGGCATTCCTGGCTAACATTTTATCTGGCATTCTATTTGGCATTTAATCTGACATTCCTATCTGAGATATTCTGACATTCTGGTTGGCATTTTATTGGCAAAAAGGCGGCCGGAGAGGTGTTTTCCACACCGTGCCAGTGGTGGTTCAGTGTGGTGGGATGAAATTTGGTTCGGCTGCCTGCATTTGTTCGTATCTGTATGTTGTTGTATGATGTTGTTGCCTGCAACTTGTAAGCTACCATGAGGCTACCATGTCCAAATTGATACGTAGTTAACGTAGTTGTGCTTTCCAATGACTTAAAAGCGCGGCGGTTGTTATCATGTCGTGGCTTCGGTCGCCATCTGGTGAACCCTAGCCTGTAATGAGTTGATGGCAGGCAAGCCTGACTGGCAGCTTCAGTGCGTCAAGTGGCTTTTGGCCGCTGCAAAGGGGCCTTCAACGGCTGCGGGCTTTGGCGAAACAGATGGCTGTGCCAGAGGACTGACATCAGGGGACGCGACTTAGACTTGTGCATTTTTACCATTAGAAACTGTGTTATATTCATGTTGGTAAAACAATCATAAACCATCCCCAATTTCACCATGAGTAGGTGGTATAAACCATTCGCAAATGGGTGGTAAACATGGCATTGTTTTAACATGTTTTAACCACATGAAACATCGATTTGGCGCGCTGTGCTGCACCTGGATTGTATGGTGCAGACTTTCGCAGCCTGACACACAGGAATATAGCGTGGACATCGTGATGCCGCGGCTCGAATGAGGGGGCACAAGTTCACTAAGTGATTGTGATAGCGAAAGTTGGACCTTTTGGATATGTTTGGAGCATGTCAGGCTGCACGTGTGTTTTTTTCTGTTTTGCTTGCTCCGCACAATGGCTAGAAACCAAAGACTATCTATCCCATATGCTCCATGTATGGAATATTTACCAACATTTACCCCATAAATCACCCAGTTTTGTAGGTAAATATACTATACATGGAGCATATGGGTATGTTTGGCCAGCAAAAATGAGGTACTGCAATGAACCATTAGATGGTTTGCAGTCGAAGAAGACGGGCTACGAAGAAGATTGGTTGCTTTCACCTGTCCCTTTGAGGCGTGGAACCTTGCATGCATTGAGCACAGATGTTATGCCGCACCAGAAGCGATTCTTAAACTAGAGCGTTCAGGTGACCAAAAGGTTTTCAGTGCAACCTTAAGTAAAAGTAGCTCTGATTATCTCTGATTCATTCATCGCAAATTCATGCAAATTCAGCAACCACAAGATGTAGGAAGCAGCAATCAAAGAATTTTTAGGGCTCATTTTTTAGGGCTCAATCCACCGACTGATGGGAACAGTAAAAATCTCCCTGAATCCAATGAAACCAGAGGAGTTTCCCGGACAGACTGCAGTCGTGGGCAGTCGGGATATGTTTTTTTTGGGCAGTGGTTGGTTGACTAAACAAAATACGTTTTGAATCGCTTTGAATCGTTTTGAATTACCCTCTGGTAATTTAACATATAGCTATTGAAAATGGCCCTTTATAGTGGATTTTCCCATTAAAAATGGTGATTTTCCATTGCTATTTTAGTTTACCAGAGGGTATGTTTTGGCTGAGCATGTTCCCGCTTGGATCCGAGCACATCAACTGTGTTTGTTCACTGGGTCGACCAAATGCAGGCATGTGAAGCTGATTCTCTATCGTTTGATTTTGTGCTTTGACACACGCCGCTTGGTTCGTGGGAAAATATGGGAAAATGTGTGTTGTCTCTGTAGTCTGGTTGTCATGTAAGCAATCGGCGATGGTAACGCCAGGGATTTTAGGAAATATCCTATACTTGTACGACTGACTAGACTTAATGATAGGGAACACGGCCATGTGGGAACTTATGAGAAGCTGCGTATATGTTCCAGATGTGTAATATGATAGATTAAATATTTGAACCATACATGAACATACATGAACCATGTACATAATATATTATAAGCTTTATAAGCCTTTATAAGCCTTTTGACCAGCCCAAAGTGGTTACATTTCTTGTCGCTAATCTTCCAGATTCCCCGGCTAAGACCATGCCTCTTTCAAGATACAAGCACTGTTGTGCTTGTTGTCGATCAGTCACCGCAACGACTGGTGATTCGAAAAATGTCAGATCGAAGTCGCAGTTACCAAAAAGTCATTCTCAATACATCTCAACATCCATATGCTCCATGGTGCTGGAATATTTATATATGCCAACATTTGCCCTTGTCCAAAATCACCCAGTTTTGTAGGTTCTTATATACCAGCACCATATATTGTTCGCATTATTGGGATACATCATGCAGCTCCAGGAGAAGTCTTATACAATGACAACGCCTTGGCAGCTCGGCCTTTTTATAGTTTTTTTACCATGACTGGGAATGGTTTCTACAGACCACATCTCATATATAAAAATGGTGTTTTTTTTTTTCTGGGGGATGGTTTATGACATTGACATTGTTTTAAAGCACATTATATGAGATGAAGGAGCAGACACGCATCAATTTGTGTGTTGTTTTATCATGATTTATCCGTTTGTCGGAAGATTTGTCAATCCAGCATAGGGCAGAGCAATGGATAGTGCGCAATCCGATATTTTGTCAGGAACAACCTTCACTACACTATTCAAAGTGAATGGATTACATTGCGATGGATTCCAGAGAATGCACCAAGGTGTTCAATGGACTTGCTGTATTCAGTTTGTGCTTTCATGTTTATGACCTTGTCCTTGCCTCTGCATCTTCGAAACTTCCACCCTTTGGACCGGCCATCGGACTTTCTTTCCCACGTAGTTGCTATAAATTCCAAAGGTAGAGCTGTGTTCCGACTCAGAGGCCGCATTTGGAACTTAAGTACTATTTTTAAACAACAGGAACGGAGGATGAAAACTTAGATCATCTTCGATCCTCAGAATAATTATGACAAATATAGCCATGGAAAATCCCCATGTTAAATAGGTAAACCATCTATTTCTATGGGCCATCTATACCATGGCTATGTTGAATAACCAGAGGGTATATTATATATACAGATATACCCATATCCATGACATCACCCATCTGCAAAGGACACTTTGCCAGAAGCTGCCAAAGATGCAGCACGACTCTTTGGTCAGTTGGAGGCTTGGTACTCGCGCGATTTTTTCGCGAGGCTGCTCAGGTTAGATTAAGGACCACAAGGTTGCAGAATATATAGAGATTTAATTGTGAAGCATCAGAAATCATGATGTGTCAATCGTATGACTGTTTGATATCATAGATTATGACAATGCATTGGATCATAGATTGTAGATATATACATACAAATACTATATAGCATAATCGTCATAATCTATAGATATATCACAGATCATAGATAATGTGATGATTATTTCTATTATTTAGATGATATTAGACTGATTATAGATCTATATAAATAGATGGTCATGATTTATGATGGTTTATAATCATCCTATCATAGATTGTGGGTATTTCTATAGATATATCATAGATCATAGATAGTCTGATGATTATTTCTATTATTTATCTATTGATTATAGATTTAGATTATTTATTGTGGAATTATAGATTTATAGATTTCTTATGACTATCTCTCTAGTTTTTCTACGATTTAGATCGTGGATATGTCTATTACCCTTCAGTAAACGTTTACATAACTATGGAAAATCACCATTTTTAATGGGTAAATCCTGGAAAATCATCATTTTCAATGTGTAAATCCTAGAAAATCATCATTTTCAATGGGTAAATCCTGGAAAATCATCATTTTCAATGGGAAAACTCACTATTTCTATGGCATCTATGGCATCTATGGCCATGTTCAATAGCCAACTGTTAACGTTTACGGTAATTGCTAGGTTTCCCACGGTGCCCAGGTGGTGCCGGTGGATGCCAGCCCCAAAGCCTGGGAGGCAGCCCGGTATTTCCTGACGCTCGACAGAGGCAGAAAAAACAAAGAGTTGCTCTATGTGTTGTGTAATATGATTGTATATATGATATATAAATACCATCATAGATATGATATATAATTAGGTATATCTATATGTATTCGCATGTATATATCATATATAATGGTATATATATATATCCCATAGGATCCATGGTGCTGCTATATATGGATATATATGGTAACATGGATCCCATGAATATACCCCCTTTATGTTAGCATATATACCAGCACCATGGATCCTATGGGTATATATATATAAATATGATATATATATATCATATATATATAATATGATATATACACATGCGAATCATTCACGCTATTTCACAATTTTCAATATCTCTTGGACTTTCTTTTGTATACCATGGAATTTCCATAGCTTCACTCTGGTTCATGGGGGAGATCGCAGCATCAGTCCTTTTTTGAGTCCAAGGCACATGGCGCGAAATTACCAGCGACTGGCAGATTTCACCATTGTCTTACATCCTGACGTCTTCGAACACGACTCTTGGCATGAAAACTTGTTTTTAGCCCCATATCAGATAGCTGCAGTTATCAAATCTGTTATCAAATTGTTGGATGATACAGATTAAGATACAGATGTGTTATTGTTGGCCCAAGCTGAGTGGATGAATCATTTCATATTGATGCTAAGTTACTGTGTCAGGTGTCCTGAGGTGCACAATTGGCACCCTTTGGCAAAGGGAACTCTTAGACACCAGACTCTTTTTTTCATTGCGCGTTGGTTTGGTGGTTTGGCCTGGAGTTCAACCGCAGCTTGACGACCGTGTGACAAAAACGTGTTTTTTTTCAGTTCCAGCATGCGACAGATGTGTGTGATATTCGTATGCACTCAGCGCGCCAAGATCTAAAGATTCGAAAGGGCGCACAGAATGAAGGCCGATGAAGGCCTGCAGAATGTCAGGGTATCCGCATTTTTTCTTTCGGCTACTGGCCACCACATTCGTTGATCACCAACGTCATTTTCATCCCTCTAACCTGTCTATACCCTGTCAGACATGTCATGTACCCCAACTCAATTAGCTGCCTTAGCTGATCCCTTCCCCCGTTGAGGTAAACCCCCGCACCTTGCGGAATGTTTTGCTGGCCTTGCGTGTTGGGACCTTTCGTATGGCGGGTAACGATGGCGACTGGTACAAGCAACTTGGCTGTTGGTTGACCATTCGACTAGAATTTTGAAGTTGGTTAACCATCATTAGCCATCTAATAACCATATAATAAGATATAATAAGCATATATATATATATATTAACCATAATATTAGCCATATTAATTTAGAGTCGTCAGTTGCGAAGTCAGGTACCCACGGTACCCACAGTCCTGGGATCTCAATTGCAGGTTATTGCAGCTTGGTCCCTTACCCTTACCCATTGGCTTCACAGAAAGATGATGAAAGATGTATATCCATCTACTTCAGTGTCAGGTCTTTGTGCTTTTTAGAACAGAATGTATCTCAGAAATGTCAGGAGATCCATGAGACATTATTATGAATATATATATATATAATAAATATATTTTTTTATATATAATAAATATATATATATATATTTATATATAGATGTATAATATATATATATAATATAATGGAATTATATATTATACCATATATTATACAACAGACATGAACGGATTTTTGAAGACTTCAGCAGGGGCCCTGAGCCCTGGCGAAGCTGGATCCAACCCTGGTGTCAAGACTGGTGGAGTCAAACTCATTGGTGCAGCAGGATCTTTTCTTGGATTTTGTCATTCTGAAAAACCACATGGCAGTGTGTCAAAACCTTGTACCCCTGGTGAACATCAAAATAGCTGGTAAATGGGTGTTCATCCCCCTAAAAATTGTATATAATAGGTATTGATCCATACCCACATCACTTGATTTGGGCGTTTAAGTTTTCATGTGACTGTGATACTGGCATTGAAATTGCGTTGCTTGCTGCATTTAAGTACATGATTTTTTCTCGAAGTGTTTGGAAAAACGGCTTCAAAAGCGAGACTTCACATCCAGTTCACTCTTGTTCTCTGTTCAATTAATGTACTCCAATAAATTTGACCTGGTCAAAATTACATACCCTCTGGTAGCTTAAACATACGGAAAATCGATAAACATCACCCAATTGGCAAGAGGTTCATCATCATCGAAAAAAGGCTTGGCCATTGTCCGTTAAATTACCAGATGTTTTTTTTAACTACAACATATTACAACATTACAACATAACCCTCTTGTAAACTAACATAACTTTGATCTACCCCCGGGGCAGTAACAGTGAGCACAAGCCAGGGGCACAAAATGAGCACCAGCCAAATGCAGAAAATAAGGGTCTAATCTGGTGATATGATACGGATAAATTCCTATACCAAATCAAAAAACGGATCAGGTAGACACCATTAATATTTAAATCATCAAATGGCAAACAAAAAATGTTTCATGTGAATCGGAAGGAATCAAGCTGCACAGGTGTCTGTTTCTCTCTTCTCGGCTCTGGCTGCTACAAATTTGCTAGGAACTGGCCAACTTATCACCAACATTCCGTTGGAAACCGTAGCAATTCTTAGCAACTACAACAACCTTAGCAATGACAACTAGCAACAATATCAACAGCCACCCCACCACCAGCGACAGCACCACTAAGACCACCACCACCACCATCAGCAGCGGCAGCAGCAGCACCACCACCACCACTACCACCACGACAACCACCACCACCAAACCCGCAGGGCTGGGGGATTGGGGCTGGCTGGGGCTGGGGCTGGGGCTGGGCTTGGCTGGGGTGCTGGGGGTCTGGGGTGGTGGGGCTGGGGCTGGGCCTGGCGCTGGGGCTGGGGCTGCGCAGTTTGACTTTTTTGGTTTTACTTTTTTCGAATTTTTGTGCTCAGCTGGTGCTCAAATTGTGCTCGGCTGGTGCTCAAATTGTGCTCGGCTGGTGCTCAAATTGTGTTCGGCTGGTGCTCAAATTGTGGTCGGCCGGTGCTCAAATTGTGCTCGGCCGGTGCTCAAATTGTGCTCGGCCGGTGCTCAAATTGTGCTCGGCTGGTGCTCAAATTGTGCTCGGCTGGTGCTCAAATTGTGCCCGGCTGGTGCTCAAATTGTGCTCGGCTGGTGCTCGAATTGTGCTCGGCTGGTGCTCAAATTGTGCTCGGCTGGTGCTCAAATTGTGCTCGGCTGCTGCTCAAATTGTGCCCGGCTGGTGCTCAAATTGTCTCGGCTGGTGCTCAAATTGTGCTCGGCTGGTGCTCAAATTGTGCTCGGCTGGTGCTCAAATTGTGCTCGGCTGGTGCTCAAATTGTGCTTTTCTTGTGGTCCCTCTGGTGCTTTGCATTCATTTTTCATAATTTGCTGAAATTGTGCTTGGCTGGTGCTCAAATTGTGCTCGGCTGGTGTTCAAATTGTGCTCGGCTGGTGCTCAAATTGTGCTCGGCTGGTGCTCAAATTGTGCCCGGCTGGTGCTCAAATTGTGCTCAGCTGGTGCTCAAATTGTGCTCGCCTGGTTCTCAAATTGTGCCCGGCTGGTGCTCAAATTGTGCTCGGCTGGTGCTCAAATTGTGCCCGGCTGGTGCTCAAATTGTGTTCGGCTGGTGCTCAAATTGTGCTCGACTGGTGCTCAAATTGTGCTCGGCTGGTGCTCAAATTGTGCTCGGCTGGTGCTAGAATTGTGCTCGGCTGGTGCTCAAATTGTGCTCGGCTGGTGCTCAAATTGTGCTCGGCTGGTGCTCAAATTGTGCTTTTCTTGTGGTCCCTCTGGTGCTCGTTTTGTTCGTCCTTTGGACCTTTCCTTGCCCAAGCTTCTTTTTTTCAATTTTTTCGCAATTATTTTTGCGGTCTCCTTGTGCTTTTTTTGTGCTTTTTCTTGTGCTTTTTTTTGTGATTTTTTGTGCTTTTTGTGCATTTTTGTGCTTTTTTGTTGTGCTTTTTTTGTGCTCTTTTTGTGTCTGCTTGTGCTGGTTTTGGCTGTTGGTACGTACGCGTCAATGAAGTTTTGCGATTTAGGGTTCAGATGGGCTCAGGGTTTAGAATTTAAAGTTTGGGATGGTTGCCAAGTTGCAAGCACTGCCCCACATGGCCAATCTGACTCCATGCTTCAGCACATTATGGTACATTGTGCCAGTTGCATCAAGCTGCCCAATTCTTTCACAATATGTTCTAGTCCTTGCTTCGATGCAAACGCCTTGCTCGCACCTTCTCAGGGAAACACGTGAATGTAGTGTCTATAGTCTGCACTCTTCTTTTCTCAATGTTGGAATGCAACTGATATGCTTGAAAGATCTTGAAAGTGAAGCCCTTGTCTTGAATTCTGAATTCTGTATCAGGGGTTTGGAGGGCAGGTTGACGTTTTTTTTTGGGCACCTCCTAGCCGAGATTTTTGGAGCAATTTCCTTGTGCTCGTTTTGAAAGGGTAGGTTAAAGGAAACTCATTTATCTGCTGTTACTGGGCGGGGGGTAGATCGAAAACATAACTATGGACAATCACCATTTTTAATGGAAACATCAGCGAACTAAATGGCAATTTTCAATAGCTATGTTAAATTTCCAGAGGGTATTACAAGGTGGTGCCCCATAGTTAGCTAAGTTGGTTTATAACTCCAGTAAGTATGGTTTATGGCAGATATAACGAACTAGTTCATGGGGTTTATAAACCAACTTATAACTGGGGGGCACCATCCTGTACAACCAGGGAAAAGTACTGATTTCTTTGACTTCAATTTGACCCTGATGAAGCTGGCTATCAGCCGTGCCGCATTTACCAATGTCACCCTGAGGTATTTATCCATGTCACACCACTATTTGTATCTCGGCATGTCGACTAAGATTGGATAAGATTGGTTATATAATTAGGGGGGTTCCATGGGAGTACACCAAAAATGGTTGGTTTATGATGGACAATCCTATTAAAATGGATGTTTTGGGGGTAGCATCATTTTAGGAAACCTCTATATATAGGCATATATAAGCCATCACAAAAGCTTACTGCTGGTAAACTGCTGGCCTATGCAACTAGGAGATTTGGGAACGGACACCCAAACTTCATCAAACTTCACAACCATACCGTATCATGTTCTATAGAGGCGTATCGTAGTATCGTAGTTAAACAGCTTATGGGCAGCTCTGGACATAATATTGACATATATTGACATGTTTCAATATGTTTCATGTTTCGAGCTTGTAAAGTGCCCATTTCTGATCCTGAGTTTCTGTAGATCGAACATACCCTCTGGTTGTGTCAAAATTGCTATTGAAAATGGCCATAGAAATAGTGGATTTTCCCATTGAAAATGGTGATTTTCCATAGCTATGTAAACGTTTACCAGAGGGTATCTTGTGGCTTTTTTTTCAGACTCGATAACTGTGTTCACTGGAGCTCTGGAGTCTGAAACAAGTAATGCCATTACATACTGCTACAGTCAATACGGCCATACAAGGTGGTGCCCCCCCAGTTCTAAATTGGTTGATAATCCCATTATCTAATATTAACTATAGATATAACTAGCGTACGTCTTTGGTTGGTGGTTTGGAACATGTTTTTTTCATATATTGGGAATAATCATCCCAACTGACGAACTCATATTTTTCAGAGGGGTAGGTCAACCACCAACCAGTTCTTAGTTATTAGAGTTATAAACCAACTTAGCTATCGACCGGGGGCACCACCAACCGTAAGTCTCTGTGTTTTCATCCAGGCGCCACGACTGCACAAAAAACGCAGGTTGCGGCCCTCTCGAGCACGCTTCGCCTCAACAAATTGCACAGAGGTGCAAATCATGGGATTTATGGTGGTTTAAGGGTTTTTTCTGGGATCTAATGGGATTTTATTGGATTTTATTGTGGTTTAATGGGGTTTTATGGGATCAAATGGGATTTTATGGGATTTTATGGTGGTTTAAGGGTTTTTTTGGGATCTAATGGGATTTAATGGTATTTACCCTCTGGTAAACATACAAAAAGCTACGGAAAATAACCATCTTCAAGTTCGGTAAATCAACGAACTAAATGGGCCATTGTTTATAGCTATGCAAACGTTTACCAGAGGGTAGAGATTAGGGAAAGTTTGGGTTTTAGGCTCTTATGAGCCAGTAGCTAGGCTAGCTATTTGCGGGTCCACATGGGTGCAGTCACGCCACGCAGACTCTGATCCCTTCTGATCTAAGCATTTTGCACGTGATTTCGGAAGGGATCTTGGAAGGATAGGAGTTGCCTCTCATCCACCAATGATTGAACATTGCCATTTGCAGCATAGTGCAGCTAGTCTCCCAGTTGAGGGAATTTGATGCGAAAGAGCGGGACCTGTGTGCCAGCTGGCATTGCCAGCTGGCATTGCCAGCTGGCATTGTACTGATATATACTAATATCCTCTAATATCCTCTGGGATCTTTCTAGCTGGCTTTAGTGGTGCTTGCTAATTAGGCAGATTGAAAAATCCACGAGTTGTGGCTAGCGTGGCCTTCCCACAGGTGGATCTGGGATTCCAGGACCTTTGGCGACAGCTGTTTGAGGAGGATGCGCCATTGCTGGAGGCTCATGGCACACAGGGCCGTCAGATCCCACTTTGATCGCGAAACTGTGTTGGGAGCCCCGAATCAACGCATTTTATGGCAGAATTTCCTATGAAACTTGGATACCCTGGGGCAGGAACTGTTTGATATGTTTGATGCATTAATAAACTTCCGAGCCAGGGCCTAGAGAAACTTCATGAAATTCAGCTGTGACTCAGAGCACACGATGCTTTTCAGATGGGATTCTGACCATTGAAACATGGTGATGTCGCTTCATGTATGGATTGTATGTGTTTCGGTCAGACCAAGCATGTCAAGAATGGCCCGCACTAAAAAACACTTGGGACATGTGTAAGTTTTTCCAGACATCCGGGTCAGCCTGGGTCTATCAGCCAAAAGATGCGAGGTGGCAAACATATCAAAATCAAATAAAATAAGACAAAAATCATCGCCGTCAAAATTGAAATTGTCTTCGCTCGGCTCAGTGCTCAAAACTGTTTTCGGACCGTGAAGTCCAATCAACAAAAAACAGCCATAGAGGCCCATAGAAGAATCAATAACCATCAAACAAAAAGAAGAAGATAGATCACTTCAAATGAGCCACCAACTAAGGCACCTTAGTTGGCAGCAAGTCACCATGGACAACCAATCTCAGCGAGCTGCTGCGGCAATCTGTTCGAGAAGCTGTTGCACTGCTGGCTCTTGTCATCTCTTGTCACAGACTTTAAAAGATGCAAGACGCAGGAAGTCAATCTAAGGTGCTCCTTCGCTGGATTGCAGGGTGAAATGAAAGAAATTGAAGAGGTGAGAGACGTGACCGGAGCACAAGGATCAAGGCTGTTAAGCTCATGCTGAAAGGAACCGTGCTTCAGCACAGCTGCACTACAGTGCTCAATGATATGCACCGCTGCCAGAGAAAGGTCCCATTGATGCAGTGCCATGGATTTTACAGGCTACACCACTAAAAAAACCAGCGTCGAGTGGTGTTCAGTGGGCGGGAGCCGGATCTTCCCCCAAGACTTCAGCCAAGAAAAACGCCGCGAAGAGCCGTTGAATCGCCAAGATGTGTTCATTGAGATGAGCCCTACCTTCAGTGTACTTGACCAGCAGAAGTTGCAGTAGTTTGCTGTTGCGGCTTGCGAGTACCAGCTGTTACGGGTTGTGCAATGTTGTGCATATTATTTGCCATTCTTCACCCAGGTTCCAGGTTTCTGTTTTGGACAGGTCAACCGAAGCAGTGCATGCAGGGCAGTGGAAAAAGAAACTGAAAGCCCCTGGAAAAATTGATAGATTTCGTTGGGACTTTATGCAGTTTTTGAGATCCGGAATCTAGATGAACATCATGCCGTGAATCATGCCATGATTACTATTGTCTCATTGTTTGCAACAGTAGGAATTCTGCAGATGGGCCAAGGAATGCACAGAACATGCCATTTCGAAACTGTCGCCAAGAAAGGAAGGAAGAAAGGATTGTGAAGGAATTCTGCCTTAGAATGAGAGGATTTTTCAGAATATAAAATAGACCTCCATTTATTTAACATAGTCATGGAAAATGGCCCATTTATAGATGATTTTCCCATTAATACCTCCATTTATAAGGGGATTTTCCATGGCTATGTTAGTCATAACCAGATGGTAAGACCTCCATTTCATTCAAGTCACCCGTTAAGTGTCACCCGTAAAAAAACATTAAAAAACTGCTGACTGGCCCACTGGCCCCCCGCAGATCGCCAGTCGCATCGCCAGGAGAAGACCGACTTTGGCTTCTACTGCTGTTCCCAGCTGCTAGCTGTATTTTTGTGATGTTTCATGGATCCAATGCGCCGTCTGGTAGATCTTCACACAGCGAACATCAGCATTTTTCATAGGTAAACCACCATTTTTCATAGGTAAATGGTGATTTTTAATAGGTAAACCACCATTTTTTAATCATTTTTCATAGGTAAACAGAAATGGAGCATTTCCCTGTAGCTATGCTGAATTGCCAGAAGGCACCACGGTGGCAACTAGCTACTGCCTAATATTGGATCACATGTCGTCAGCTTTTGCAATACGAGACCTTGATCTGCATTGATGTCCGTAGTTCAAGTATGTATTTTGGATATACTTTACTGTTCAACTGATGTACTTGAACTATCTTGAACTATGGACATCAAATATTTGCGTTTCCTGTGTACTGAGTGTACTGATACAACTGCCCAATGATGGTTTGTTCATGTGTTTGTGTTTTGGTTGATCCAGGAGAATTGCACTGAACCATGGCAACCATGGTGCGTGGATTGCGATGCAACCCATATGAGTTCAATGCTGGTTTCACCATGTCATGATGCTTATAAAAAGGCACCATTTCAGACCAGAATCTCTCATGTTTCATGCGTCATATGCTCCAATTCCATCCAATTCTAGAACACACAGATACAGAATGTACTGCTGAACTATCTCCCTTGCAAGTCTACTTGTTTTTACACTAGGTGCCTTGCAGATGGCGACCCCGCTCATCGTTGGTTTGTGGGGACAAAGGTTTTTGGTGCATCGTGAGCTAGTTCACCGAAGACCACAGGAGTGGTACCAGAGGAAGGTGAATGAAATTGCTTGGGAACACTGCGCCTTGGTCTTTGTGTACTCGGCATGTTTTACATGCTGGAAATCGTTGTTTTCTTTGAGCAGGTTCTTGGGAGCGATTGCAGACATTCAAACAGTCAAATTTTCAGGCATTTAAGGAAGGCAACAGAAGTGACTATATTCTATATGTACATTTATGTACTGTATATAGTATATATAGACTTATTACTTCTTATTACATAGAATATTATATAATAGTGTGTATGTTATTGCATATATAATATAATGCATATTATTATTATTATCATTATTATTAATATTAATATATATATATATATTATATTATATATATACACATGCAATAACATGCACTAACATATATAATATTATATATAATATGATATACACGTCATTCATGATTTGAAGGTCCTCAACTCCTTGCTCCTCGTTTTTCGATCCTCTGAGGTGCTACCAGCTACATGGAGCTGCTATGGATCCCTGGCTATCAAACAAGTCATTCAAACATAGCTATTGAAGCCACGGCCCAGTCGAAATAGTGGATTTACCCATTGAAAATGGTGGATCTTTCCAGGATTTACCCATGAAAAAAGCATGGTGATTTTCGAGTTCTTTATGTAAACGTTTACCAGAGGTATAGTAAGATCCCAAGGGAATCCTAAGGAGATCCCAATTTTTGGCGTGTTTTTAAGGCATGGAATCTTCCGTGATGGCAAACTGCACGAAGAAAAGCGCCAGGAAAACCTCGGGGGTCTTTCGGATTTCGGATTTGAGACTTGGGTAGCCCCAAATGTACTGATGAAATCTGATGAATCATGGTTCATAGTGAAGCATGGTGAATCAGAAAGATTTCTGCGTGCTTTTGGGGCTGTGCGTCATTGACAAACCCCACCCGTCTCAATGCTGATAGAAAGCGTTGACCAAGTCGTTCCTTTCTGTTTTCTCTTGCCATGTTTCCACCATCCGCAGGAGCGCAAAGAGCTTCCATTCTTTTTGCGCGTTGCCGCTTGGTGAAAAGTTCCCGAGATGTGATGCCATCCACACTGATCCAACCCTTGCGAAACAGGTTGAGGTGTGGATGTTTAGAAATGTAGCGAAGTAAGTAGGGAAAGTTGGTTGGTCGCAGGCTCCCTTGCAATGCTTGAAGGGAGCAGTATTTTCTATAGTGGTCGGAGATGGTCGGAGGTCAGATTATTTGAAAGGTTGTAAGCAGCAAATGGCGGCCTAACACCGATTGTAGTTGCAAGCTGGGAATGATGCTCGACCCTTTCAAATATGAAGATTCAATAGGAAGTGCACTGTTCTATACAGACAGACTGTATATACTTCAGATACTGTTGCCGTTGCCCCTTCAGCAATTACAACGCTGTCAACACGCAGCAGACTCTGTCGGTTTGTATGACAAGAAGGCTGCACCATTTTTTTACTCGTTTCTGAAGATCTCGATTCCATCTTTGTTTGAGCTTGTCTTCCATCATCGAGACATGGTCATTCATGTAGAGTGCCAGTACTTTGATCTACTGCACGGCTTCAAGAGTCACCAGCAGCATCTCTTACTGAGGACAACTTTTTGGAAGCAACATCTGATGGGTTGGTTTGACATTCTGCGTGAAAGAAGCTTTGGATGGGAGTTTTGGCCGGAGACTAGAATCCTTGAGGTGAAGTTACCGAAAGCCAACACTCGAGCAAAGTATGAAGATTGGGGAGGAAAGTGTCCTATTTCATGAAGACTGATATTGTAAGCGCGAGGTGAATATAAAGTCCAACTACATATCAGGCTCAGTGTGAACTGCATTTGGATAGTGAAGGTGCACTGTTCGACATACAACTGAATGCAACAGGACTGAGAAAGGGATCCCCACGGTAACCAATGCTGTGTTTGACGAGGAGAATTCAATCGCAACCAGAGCACTTGCACCTGAACTGTAGGTAGCAAAACTAGTAACTAGTAGATGTTGCTGCTGCCGTTTGTTCTTGCAATTGTATAGCAACATGAGAACATGAATTGTACAGGAGAAATGGACACAGAAAGCAGGAGAGCTCCCCAACCAGTCTGGACCTGGCAGATTCGGCCACCACCCAAAGCCCAAAGCCGAAGTCCGTTGTCCGATGATTTCCGATGATTGCTGTGGAGACAATTAGAGACATTGGAATCATCAAGTCATATTGAAGCTATATTGAACTCATTGGTGCCATGTAATGATGATTGATGGATATTGATGGTTGGGAAACTCGAATTGGATCTTATTGAAGCCATGAAAATCCATGACCGTTCAGCCCAAAATAAAATCAGAGGATTCCGAGCCCTGGATCGAACCAGCAATGGGCTGCCTGGCTCGGCCTGTGCTATGGGCTGCCTTGCTTGTCCTGACAGCATCAGAGAGCTTTTTAAGCAACGAGGACGATGTGAATGATGTGACATCCAGCAACCAGACGTGCAGCCTGAGATATTTTGAGATCACAGCATAGCCATGCAGCAATCAGGACGCGGACAAGTAGAGTATGAACAAAAAACTCAGATAAGTAACAAGCTGAACAAGTAGAGCTTACATGTTGACGGTTGTTACAGCTCGTTACTAAATAGACATGTTTCATGGCCTCCAACCAGTCACTTCCAGGATGTAGGTGACACGGCGCAGACCTGCAACGTAGATACAGTGCAGGCCGGGTGTTGGGCAGCTGTCCTGTAAGAATTTGAGCCTAGTCACTCTTCATGGATCTTCATGGATCTTCATGGATCTTCATGGTGCATCCTGGTGCTATTCTTCAGCCAAAAACCATCAAAAAGCATCAAAAACCTTCTGGCCTGAGAGGGAAAGACTGGGATCAGGTTGCCAATCTGCGGCAGTTGCATCCCATTCTGCTTCTTGGACGGAAATCTGGTGGTCCTAATATGATTTTGAGAATCCGATTGGTACGAGGGAATGCATGTGTCACAAAAAAAGCTGATCAAAATGCCAAACATACAAAACCCCAAGAACCTTTCATAGCCTTTCATTTAATAAATTTCTGTGTCTTTTCATAGCCTGTCCATGTTCAAGACATATGTTTTTTTCGACAAAGCTGTTGTGTCCAAGGCATGACCTGGTGAACACAACCTTCTTTCGACTCTTCAGAGTAAACCTCAGGAATCCCACCTGCCGGGAGGCTCAGAAAATCGGCGACTCGACATGTTTCGATGAATGGATATGGAAAATGAGACAAAATTGAAGGCCTATGATGATGAAGATGGAGATGAATATGATGATGAAGATGAAGATGATGAATGATGGATGATGGATGATGGATGATGGATGATGGATGATGGTCATGATGATGGTGTTCATGATGATGATGATGATGATGGTGATGGTGATGATGAAGATGGTGATGATGATTGTGATGGTGATGGTGATGGTGATGATGATGATGATGGTGATGGTGATGATGATGATGATGGTGATGATGGTGATTTTGAAGATGGTGATTGTGATGATGATGATGATGGTGATGATGGTGATGTTGGTAATGATGGTAATGATTGCGATGATGTTGATGATAGTGACAATGGTGATGATGATGATGGTGATGATGATGATGATGGTGATGATGGTGATGATGATGGTGATGATGATGGTGATGATGATGGTGATTATGATGCTGATGATGATGATGGTGATGATGGTGATGGTGATGGTGCTGATGGTGCTGATGCTGATGATGCTGATGATGATGATGATGATGTTGATGTTGATGTTGATGGTGATTGTGGTGATGATGACTATGATGGGCCAACCATCAAGATTTCTCACCTCGATGTCCAGGTGCGTACTGGAAGAGTCCTGACGCAGAGGAGAAGCCCAGCTCAGAAGGCACTTGTACAGGCGCCAGTCACCTGGGTCACCTGCTTGGCCGTCCTGTTAATGCTGTGGGATGTTGTGGGCCAGCTCCGCCATGAGGCTGACAGGCTGACACTGAATAAAGGAACTAAAGGAACAAATGTTTGGTCAGCATGTCCCGCTTGAACACATGAGGCAGCTTAAGAAGGCATGCTCGTTGATTTGGTGATTTCGCAGGTACTTCAAGTAGCATTTTTGTTTAAGTGATTCAATGTAATCGAGGATGCCAGGGCCTAGACGGCCACAAATCTTTGGTGCTGGCCTGGGTGTCCCTGAATGCGAAATCACATTGCAATGATGAAGAGCACTCCAAGAGTTGCAACGAAAGACAAGCTACAAACATGATCAAACATATTGATTGTTTTCGTTCATTTGCCTAATATTTGTGAGGCCCCAGGAAGTGCTGCTGCTGGAATGGCAGGGTTTCGAATGATTTTCCATCACCCTGCACGCCAGGGTCTGTGCCAACCTTGGGATCCAAACCCGCCTTCATGTCCAAGGGCGGCTTTTCAACAGGCGTGGCGAACCTGTAGTCATAGGGCGATGGCAAGTTGAGAAAGCTCAGGTTGGCGAGCAGGTTTGTTGAGATGTTAAGAGCCTAAGGGGCAAAAAAATGCTAGAAAGATCATGAGTCTCACTTTTTAGACCCATCAAATATCATATATATATATACATATGTATTTAGGTCACCGGTATCAAAGGCTAAAGATCCTCAACAAGATAACAAAGATAGATGAAGATCCCAACAGATTCTGGCAATGCAATGCTAAGAGGCCAAGCCTAGCCTTGCTCTTCGGTGATTGCTGAGGCTTCTCAAGCAGAGCAGCACCCCCGGAGCGGGCCGAAATGGTTGGTTTAGAACCTGGCATTTACCCGGCCTGGTTATTTAATATAGCCATGGTATAGATGGCCCATGTATAAATGGTTTACCTATGGAAAAAATGTGATTTTCCATGGCTATGTTAAATCACCAGGTGGTAGATTCTCAATCAGCTAGAAGTCTGGTATATTGGTGGCATACGGCGACATATGGTGATATATTGGCCTGTGGATTGCTAATTCTTCCAGCGAACAGATGTGAACAACATACTGGCTAGGTTTGGGTAGCCATTCATCAGATGGCAGCCTTTGGCCCTAATGCAGTGACCAAACATTTTATGGGATTTTGATCCGTTCCCTGGTGCAGACCGTGTCACCAAATCCAAAAAATTGATGGTGAAAACATGTGAAAGCTATGGTTTCCTGTAGATTTTCACTTCATCCCACCCATTGATTCCCAGGCTTTCCTCATGCTTCGATTGCTGCCATGGCACCACATGGCATGCCACGGCGCAGGAGCCTGGATGCTCAGTAGAAGCCGATGGCAGCTCCGAGGGCATCGATCGAAAGCTCACGGTGCAGGAGAAGGTGCAGTGATCTCATCTCGACGGTCACCGGTCGGATGTCACCGAGAAATCGGAGTAGGACTGGAACGGGGCATCATAGGAGCGATTTCTTTGATTTGTATAAATTTGTATAGTACTATAATATGCAATGAATATCTTAATTAATGATATATAGATATTCACCATCCTTGTTTTGGGACCTACAATTTGACCCACTGAAGGAGTCCTGCTGCCCTGATTCCAAAAACATATGGAATGGCTTGGTGAAAAAGACTCGTCACTCATTGTGTTTCTCCACAGAAGGTATATGACAATTGTCAGGCTGAAGAAAACTCCAGATGGTCAGTCCCGCTACCCATTTGGTCAGGTGGCGCAACTCGAAAGAGGTAACGAGCGCCTCGATTCAATTTCTAGAGACTCCTAGAGACTCCTAGAGACTCTAGAGTGTGCAGAGGAATGTTGTCTTCAAGTGATCGAAACGTAAATGTAGGCCATGCAAGGCTCCTAGAAAGCCTTGTGGTTGTTTCCTCGGTGCAGACGTCTTCAGCTGTTTGTTTTGCCTCGCTTTGAGCAAGTTCACAGAGACCGAGCCGAAACCTGCCGCTGTAGCAGTCTGCGGGAGAATTTGATCTTATCTCGTGACTCTAGTTGTGACTAGTTGTGACTAGTTGTTGGGTCTCCCTGCATCCCTGCGGGGTCCGAATTTTCTGCTGAGACTTGATCGTCTCTCCAGCCTAGGACTGAAGAGTGTGAATTCGAGGAGCCACCAGAGATGGGTCATGACGGTCATGACGGTTTTGGGGCTCGGAAAGCCAAGACTAGTCTTATAAAAGCATTGGAAAATATATGAAAATATGGGAAACCTCTACCCGAATTTCTCCACCAGTAGCTGAAGCATTGCTTTTGATTCAGGTCCTTGGACAGTTGGACAGTGCTCAGCCTGATTTTGAGATGCGCACGGCCCCTGTAAGCGCAGACGGTCAAGACCCATTGGATTTCAATTCTCGCTACAATTCTGGAGTGAAGTTGTGTCAGTGAATAATTGTTAATAATATACCAGGACCAGTGATAAGTACTGATATAACCCCATAATAATATTTATAATATAATGGAATGTATAATCCCATTTATAACAAAAGAACCATAAATCAGCCCCTGCAATATCTGATAGATCTTGATTGATTTGCTTCCTGATCCCTGACTGCGCCACGTTGACTTTGCAAGAAAGTATGAATATTTGGGGGTGCGACAACATGATGCAATCGCTTGAAATACCTCGAGTTACATCATGAAACCAGGAGGACAACAGCAGATTTACATAAGAATCAAAGATTGTGATTGATTATCTGGTTGGTGGTTTGGAATATGTTGTATTTTTCCATTTCATATATGGGATGTTATCCTTCCCATTGACGAACTCATATTTTTCAGAGGGGCAGGTATACCAACAACCAGATGATGTTTGATCATGTATCATCCAGGAGGACCTGCCAACGTACTGGGTGGATATGTGCTCCGGCGACCATGCGAAGGGCATGTCCCTTGAGGAGTGTCGCTATTGGCCCAATGTGCGCGGCGGGGTGAGTGAATTCAGCTACTTCATTGAAGTTCGCCCTAGTTTGAAAGAATTTGTCAAGTCCACCACAATGAAAGTCCAGATAACGATGTATATTTCGCAATGAAGGAGTCGCGCATCGTTTCGCACAGGATGTGAACCTCATTAAGAATCCAGAGCGAAACACGGGCTACAATGGTTCCCACATTTGGCAGGCAACTTTACCGGCACATGACATGAGCTGGTACAAGCACACTTAACATCACTTCATCTTCGGGCTGCTTGTTGTTTCACTTTATATATGTTGTGTTAAAGAGAGACTAATTTATGCTGGCTAGAGAGATGTTTGCTCCAGTCTTCCGCAACAATTACCAATCTTTACCAGCCATCAGCCAGGGCTGTTTTCCGATAGCCGATAGGGCCGATACCCTCTGGTAAACTAACATAGCTATTGAACATGGTGATTTATAGTGGATTTACCCATTGAAAATGGTGATTTTCATGCGTCCTACCTTAGGAAATTATTTTGAGGTGGGAGTTGGTTATGGAATATTTTGTTTTAAATAATTTCCAATTTTTAACATAAATTTTATGTTAACATCAGCGAACAAGAACCATAGCAAAATAATTTATGCACCCGTAACCCGATGATGGTGCAAAATATTTTTCCACCTACAGAGGTTGAAGCACCTTGAAATAATTTTAAGCAAACAACCGAAGGCACCTCAAAATAATTTCTCAGTTGAACTGGGGAAATTATTTCATAGAGTCCCAACTGTATAAAATAATTACCAGACACCCAGGATGAAAATTATTTCATGGGGAAGTTGAGTTTTGCAAGGTTAGGTTATTTTGTTTTCTGGGGTGGTCTGGTACTGTAGTACCCCCACCCCCAAAATATTTTTTTGGGGAGAGAGGAATGGATTCAGGTTTCTTTGCCCAAAAGTCGATGATAAGTCGATGTTCTAAAAAATAAGTAGTTGGCCCACGGCTTATAGACGGCCGTGGCGTTTTTGTTGTTTTTAGGTAGTTTTTACAGCATTTTGTGTTGTTGTCGCCGTGCCTCTGGTCCGTCTTCTAACTTGTTTCTCCTTTTTCGGGATTTTTGTTCTTGTGAACTTTCCTTCCTAGAACTTCACACGCTCTTGATGCTACGTTGTGAACTTTCTTCCTGGAACTTCACACGTTCTTGATGCTACGTTGTGAACTTTCTTCCTAGAAATTCACACGCTCTTGATGCTACGTTGTGAACTTTCTTCCTAGAACTTCACACGCTCTTGATGCTACGTTGTGAACTTTCTTCCTGGAACTTCACACGTTCTTGATGCTACGTTGTGAACTTTCTTCCTAGAACTTCACACGCTCTTGATGCTACGTTGTGAACTTTCTTTCTTCCTAGAACTTCACACGCTCTTGGGGGGGGTTTTGGGGGGGCTAATAACGTTCTTTCGTGTGCGTTTTACTTGACTCCGTTGTCTTGATGGTATACGTTGTGAACTTTCTTTCTAGAACTTCACACGCTCTTGATGCTACGTTGTGAACTTTCTTCCTAGAACTTCACACGCTCTTGATGCTACGTTGTGAACTTTCTTCCTAGAACTTCACGCGCCCTTGATGCTACGTTGTGAACTTTCTTCCTAGAACATCAATATATGTGGCGTCACACCATTTTGCCGTGTTCTCCTCAAAAAATGATGTCACACCTTGTCGACATGATGAAGAAACATCATGACTTTCAATAGCGGCCTCATCCACTGAAACAAATAGTCTGGGGGCATTGCAAAAACACTAAAAAACATATATTTCCCCATGTAATTACGTGATGAAGCCGCTTTAACCAATGGCACGGCTGCGTGAATAGTCCAAAATGGACTTCTATGCTTTCACCACTGTAAATCAGCAGAAAAAAAGGCGATAATTGCTGATGTGCTCATTTCCTCACGGCCGTCTGTGAGCCGTGGACCTAGTTCAGTAAGTAATTCATGGTAATTCTCAGGGTTTGTCTCTTTGAGGCAATTTGGATACAGCTTGGGTCAATTTGATTCAGTTTGGATTCAATTTGGTTCAATGTAGTATTTTTGAACTATTCAAGGGGACGTTAATTTTGCCAGGTTGGGCCAGGCTATTATTTTTTTCTGGGGTGGTCTCGTGGTACCCCCACCCCCAAAATAATTTATTGGGTAGGAAGGGGTCGATTCAGATTTCTTTGTCCGAAAATCGATGGTCTAAATAATAAGTGGTTCAGTAGTGAACCACCCCCAAAATAATTTTTGGGTGTGAAAGGGGGTCGGTTTAGAGATGATTTATTTGATGTGTGCCACAACCTCCAAGTGGTTTAGTGCTTTTGTCGGGTGCATTCGAGAGGAGAGGTAGTGTGACCCCCCAAAATAATTTTGTTTTTTTTTGCTAATTATTTTGAGGTGGTTCTACTTGTTTTTTCAATCATCCAAAACCATCTTAAACCACCTCGAAATAATATCTAAAATTATTTTGAAGTAAGGGACGTGTTTTTGAGTAATAGTGGAACCCTACCAAATATTTTATTTTATTTGCAACCTTTCAGATTTTTTTTTGGGGGGGTGGGTAGTGTCAAAGGAAATTATTTTGAGGTGGGTTAGAGTGTTTTTGAAAAAACAATATTTTGAGGTGGGTTGTGTACTAGAAACACCTCAGATTAATTCCTAAAAAATATTTTGGGGGGTGACCCTAGTGTTTTTACCTATGGTAGCCCGCATTGATTTTCCATTTTACCAGAGGGTATCTCGTAACGTTTCCGGGTAGCTCGTAACCACGTGACGTCGTACGTAGCGACAGAGTCGACAGGCCATGTACGACGAGAACTGCTTCGAGGTGGGCAGCTCCATGCCTCGTGGGCGCTTTGCCTCAGATGCCTCAATGTGCTACGAGGAGAACGAGCTGAGATTCTCTGTGAATTGCTGTGCGCCTGGAATTTGAGTATACCCTCTGGTAATGACAAAATAGCTATTGAAAATGGCCATTTATAGTGAGTTTTCCCATTAACAATGGTGATTTTCCAATGACAGATAACCCATGACGGATCCGGCTGGTGCTGTTTTTTTTTAATGCTAACATGACTGGGGTTTTTGTTGATGGGATCCATGGAGCACCATATATAGCAGCACCATGGATCCTATGGGGTATACTCTGATTGTGTACTGGTACTTGAATGCGTTCTGTAATATGTTTTTCCTTTTTTTTCCCCCGCATCATTGTGTGGGGATCTTGTTTTTCTGCTTTGCGCTCGACTGCCTTCCTCTCCTCCCTCCTTCTCTCTGTCATCACACAGTTTCAGATACCAAAAAAACACATTGTCACACACAACTCTGTCGCGCACAACATTGTCACACACTAGACAAAATTGGATCTTTTAAGTGATCCATCAGGAACTGAGTCCTTTCACATGCAAAAAGATTGTTGTTGGGGTTCTTGGCTTAGCCCCTTGCCACGTCAGTATAAATCACAGGAGTCATTGAGTCATTGACATATAAACCAACAGCGTAAAAAGTATAAGGAGCACGTCAGTAAACATCACAGGAGTCTTTGACATATAAACCAACAGCGTAAAAAATATATAAAGGTGCAGGTACGTCAGTGCTGGCCGGGCACTGATGTCACGTCCACTTGGTGCGGTCTTTGTTAGATGAGGCACACCAAGGGACCCTCATCCCCCTGCTTTGACATTGACCACCCTTGTTAGAAGGAGAGAGAAAAGAAAAAAGGAGAGGTTTTCTATCTATTTAGATGTTACACACACACACCCACACACACACAACTTTGTCACACACAACTCTTTCACACACACACACACAACTCTTTCACACAAACAATGTCGCGCACACACAGCTCTTTCACACACACAACATTGTCTTGCACACACACATCTCTGTCGCGCACAACATTGTCACAAAGAACTTTGTCACAAACAACTCTTTCACACACACACACACACCCTCAACTCATCTTATTGGAAAAAAATGACATGAGGAGTTCTCGGGTCTTTTATTTGTGTATTTTTTTCCTACAGAGAATCACCAAATATCCATCTCCTCATTTCCAGGAGCGAGTTCTTTACCGACTTCTCAGTGGCTGGCATGCCTCCACGTCCATTTCTATCGCCAAGAACTTCTATGCCCCAGGCCATTGATCATACAATGTGAGGCCCCCCAGTTATAAGTTGGTTTAGATTCGCCCCAGTAACTATAGTTATAAGATGTTATAAGTACCATAAACCATAGTTATTGGAGTTATTTGCACCAACTTAGCTATCTTGGGGGCCTCACATTGTAATGATCATCCGCATGTCATCCGGCTTCGCCCCGTTGCGAAGCGTTGCGTTGCACCACCGCTGCGTTGCGCCGTTGCGCCAGGCACAAAGCAGAAAGGCCAGTGGGCGCCGAACTTGGTTCGAGCCTCATGGGGCGGGAAATTCTGCGAAACATCTGGAGGTTTCCAATGTTATTTCGTGGGTACCTATTAATAGCTGGATGGTTTATTTCATGAAAATTCGAAGTAAAATTTGGATGATTTGGGGGTACCCCCATTTCAGGAAACCTCCATATGTTTAAGAAGAATGATTGACCCATACGATTCTTGATCAAGGGAGGACGGATTGAAGATGTTCTAAGATGTTTGTTTTTTTTAATGGTTTCATACTGATATAAAATTACCACAATCCTGACCCACATGGAATGAATGTGATGAAAATTGATGAAATCGTCAACAGCAATCAAACAGTTTAAGTATGTTTAAGTCAAAAGTGGACAGTCATTATCAGTGGCTATGATGATAAGCAGCTTGGTATTTTGCCACATCGCAGGAGCGCTTCATGAAGGACATCGGGGACCATCCCGAGCGCGCAAAGAACCTTCATTTCTCCTTTGTTGTTCTCTTGAGAGCCGTCAGAAAGGCGAATTCTGAAGGGGCGACGGTGGGTTTTTTTCAGGTAGTCATTCACATTGAAGTCAAGAAGGATCAAAAAGGCCTCCCAGGTTGCTATATGTTGGAGATACGGAACTGTTGAAGAAGTATCAGCTACTGGTGTCCTTTTCACCAGTTTGCATAAATGCAAGATGCAAAAAGTTGTCTCTATTTTGTCATGCGAATCCCATAGTTTCAGAGATCAGCGTAACTTTTCTGCGGCATTTGCGTGTTTGCTATCCTTTTGGAATCCATTCAGAAATGATAGTTCCGAACTTGGCCAACTAGCTCGGAAATGGCAGCCCCATTCAGGCAGCACCATTTCTGCAGAGCTACGCTTTCCACACCGGTGACGACAAAGAGGATCGAAAGACCAAGGCCGGCCCGTTGCAGCGGCCGTGAAGCCGTTGCAGAAACTGCTGTGCAAACAGCCCATCAAATGCTGTCTCCAATGAGAACGACAGAGGGCACCCCGAACATGACATGATATCTATGCTAATATATCTATATATGATCATATATGATTATATAATGAATCATATTCATGTACATATTAAGCAAACATGGCTCATGGCTATTTTCCACGTTCCGTCTGGAAAGGACGCCTTTTTCTCAAAAGTCCCGGCCCAAAAACGCAACGCTGCAGATGCTCATGTCCCGGCTCTTGGACTCACAGCTCCTATCCTTGTGCTCACCACTCTTCGAGGCCATGGGCAAATGGTCGTGGCCTAGTAAAGCTGTAGAAAAAAGATAGGCGAGCGAAGGAAGATAGAAGAACATTTGAAAAAAAATGGCTTTGCCATACATCTTGAGATCGCGCGACTTGTTTGAGTGATAGCCCGGATCTCTCACATTCAGCTTGGTAGAGAAGGTCAAGAGTGCTATCTTTCCAGCTTAACATTTCGATGCTGCAATGCTTGTTTTCTCACTGACCATAGGGAATCAAGAGGGTTTAAGATGGTTTTTTCAGCTCTCACTGGAGTTTGGGCATGCTTTGTGCCTTCGCTGTTCAGTTCTCCCCGTCTTTAACTGGTGCAGCTTCACCAGTTCTCCCAGGCTTTCGACGAAACGCGGCTTTTTCGAAGTAGCTCCACAGAACAGAGAAGTCAACTGAAGCGACAATTCAAGCACCCCGGCATTGCCCGGCACGGGATGAAAGGGACGATGGTGACCGCACAGCTTGCCAATCTTTGCCACCATGATACCTGTCTAATGTTGTAAGATTTTGTGTAAAATATTGCACATGTAACAACTGTATCTGTCATATCTGTTATTAAATTAGGGTGCGTGTTTTTCGCGCAGCACAATACAGAACATGTTACAAATGCTCCACCAGAATACAAAAGTTAGCCAAAAACACCCTCAACCAAAAACACCTTCATCATGCATCTATAATTTATTTTATACTGGTTGGTGGTTTGGAACATGTTTTTCCCATTCAGTTGGGAAGAATCATCCCAACTGACGAACTCCATCATTTTTCAGAGGGGTAGGTATACCACCAACCAGGGCTTGTTTGGTCACGCCACGATACGCCCAACAACTATGAAATGACGTGAACGGGGACAGCTTTCGAGGGAGGAGTTAAACCAAAAGCACCACAGGTATCAGCAGGATGTGGAGTTACAGGACATATAGGTACATACAATATCATGTATATATATATATATATCATAAAATCATTTAAAATCATGTTAAATCATATAACATCATATAAAATCATATAACATCATATAACATCATATAAAATAATATAAAATCATATAAAGTCTAAGATTATATCATTAGAAGATAATAGAGCATCCATGTAGATCAAAAGTTCCAGATCGGGATCATCCCAACATCCGCGCAGTGCTGTTGTGCCAGCAGCCAAGCTAAGGAGTGTTTTTCGGAACATCACTGCCACTTGCCAGCGTTTTGTGCTGGTTGATCTGGTTGGGCCCTACGACTGTACCGAATGATACCAAAACAAAGCACATAGAATCTGAAGAGTTTTTTTGGGTTTGACAGGTACTTCTCCCCTTGTGGAATTGAGACTAGATTTCGGCGGTTTGTCGTGTTTGGATTGGTGCTGACTTGGGAATGACACCGGGTCTTGTGTCCTTCAGATGATTTCTATTTGTGTGCATGTCTGACTTCGTCCTAGACGTTTGATATGTTGTTCAATTTGTTCAATACTCAGAAGCTGTTTTTTTTAAGCGTGCCATGGTCAAGTTCGGATATGGTTTCACCTTTTTCTTCACTCCCTTTTTTTGGTGATCCCTTTTCGGCACCGATCGAAACAAAATCCTGGTGAGTTATCAACTCCAACGGTGAAGCCTTCAGCCAGGAGCTGGTGGACTGCGTGCAATGCCAACGCTGTCGCCTTCACGCCAAGCTCTTCTCTTTGGGATTAGGAACAGTTTCTGGGACCGATGGCATCCTTTGTAGACCATGGACATTGTGACCATTGGACCACTACAGTACCAGGCGATGATTTTTTGGGATAGTGAAGAGTGAAGACTATAGATTAAGAGTGGTACTGTTTCAACATGTTTCAACAGAACTGGATGCATTCCGCAGAATCCGAACGAAATAGCTCGATTTGGGTTTGAGCTGAAGTGTTTGAACTCATTTTGAATCTCTCAAAATAGAAAGATTAGCCGACATTAGCCCACTATTACCATGGCATGTCATGGGATGTCATGGGAATCCATGCTGATATTGCACATTGTTTTGGCCAGCATCAACAATGAATGGACTATTGGAGTTGATGAATACGTTGAATACGTTTTCGGGACGCACGTTGAAAGCATTTTTTGTTGGAATGCTCCTGAAAACGCATTTTGAGCCGGAATTGCTGAGCCATGGAAATCAAGTGGTGTAAGTCTTCATGTCCAATGCTAGCGTCCCACATTCATTGTCCTATAATATCCTATTATAATAGGATCCATGTATGGTATATATGGTAACATTTACCATCAATATACCCCCAATGTTAGCATATATACCAGCACCATGGATCGTATAATTATAATAGGAATCCTTCAAAATTCACGACCATCGCTCCGAGAGTGCGGGAAAGAGTTCAGCAGTTCAGCATCGCTTAGGAGTAACATTGTCCTCTTGTTTTTTTCCCAGTGTTTCTAGATGTTTCTAGTTTCCAGATGTTTCCAGATGATTCAAAGATTTCAAAGATACTCAAATATGTGATCTAATATGTGTTGAATGTACATTATATTATTATACTATGTATGCATTCTGACTCTGACATTTAAGAGAAGCATGTACAGAGGTGCTTCGTGGCACATGCACAAAATCATACATCTGCAAACATTTGCAAACCCTCCTTCTTAGTTTGGCTCATTTATGCGACAGTCAGGGCCCAAAGGTCTTGCCATGTTTAACTCAACTCAATTGCAACTTCGACAGACACCAACTTTCGCCATGTACTGTTTCGTCATGTTCCACTTCGCCATGTACTGTACAGATTTTGCGATGTTCCCCTTGATCTACCACTTTAAAACGCCGGGGCTCGGGGGCTCGGCAAAGGCTCTGAAGATCCTTCTATCTCCCGAAGATCTCATTAGCACCACCACCAGCAGAGACGATGTGGTCGCCTTGGTCAACATTTTGTGGAAGATGTCGGACTCTCTGGAGGCCAGGTATGGTGCATTGGTTCCGTGGAAGTTGGATCCATAAGGCTTGGGATGGAGCTTGGATGTGCAACGAAGAATAGGTTTTATGACATTTTATGACTTGAGGATTGAAGAATTCGAAGAAGTGCTGTTTTGTTGTCTGGAACCCCTCTGGGAAGCTAGTCGAATATACACCGTTGCCTTCTGACCTCCGACATGACAAACATTGACAAACTGTCAGGACGTGAGGTTGATGACAAAGCAGTACTACGAGAACCACAACCAAAAGCCAAAAGAGGAAGCGCCGAGACCGACAGGCGAGTCAGTTAGTCAGTTGAAGTATGGAGTGAAATGGCATGAAAGAGCTGCCAGTTTGCGAGCGTCAGCTGAATTGCTGGTTGGTGGTTTGGAACATTTTTTATTTTTCCATTCAGTTGGGAATGTCATAATCCCAACTGACGAACTCCATCATTTTTCAGAGGGGTTGGTCAACCACCAACCAGATATTATATGGTTATCATATGGTTATTGTATGGTTAGTATATGGTTATTATATGTTATTATCACTATTGCCATTGATATCCATTGATTATCATCATTGGAAAAGTATCCCGGAATTTCTCACTCCAATTGGTGAATCTTTGAGACTTTTCCCAACTTTTCCAGCCGGACATCAAAGTTATCAGCCTGTCCAGGTCAGAGCGTGGCCGTTGCGCGGCTGGAAGGGGACAACCAGCCAATGCCTTTGAGTGCAAGGCAAAGTCTGCCTGTCCCCCCTGGTAGCCCCAGATGCAACTCTCCTGTCTCATCATGTCTCATCATGTCTCATCATTCGTCCATATTGATGCAATGTGTCCTTAGTTAACTAGATGATCTTAAATATACTATACACATCTATACACATTACATGCACCATCTATACCGGATCCCCTAGGCCCTAGGCCTTCAATCATCATCATCGGCTCACACGTTGTCATCACGCGCAGGCGGGAGCTCTTGGACTTGTCCCTAGCTGCAGTGCGTCACAGCAGCAGCAAGGGCTTGTTGCCCAGCGAAGCTGAGGTGAGAAGCAAAGTGTGGATGGGCTGATATTGTTCAGGGCTTGGAAAATGTCGTAAGTGTTGACATCACCCAGCTGATCTTAAGTGATTGAGTTGTCAGTTTTCAGCTCCAAGACATACTTTTCAAGTGAAACGAATCCCCCAAAACAGCAGATTTACATAGATTTACCAATTACCAACCCCCGTTTCTGCAATGGGAAGATGTCCGAAGTGATGATGTCTTATGCCTGGTGGAGAACCGTGATGAAGTGACGCAGCGACACATTCGTCAAGCTGGGAGTTTCCAACCATTTTGGCCGAAATCAGGTGATACCCTCTTGTAAACGTTTACATAACTATGGAAAATCACCATTTTGAATGGGTAAATCCACTATAAATGGTCATTTTCAATAGCTATGTTAGTTCGTTTACCAGAGGGTATCAGGTGTTACCCAGGTTGTCAAGTTTCGAGAGGACACCTGGCCATTCCAACCTTTGTTTTCATCAGGAGATGCTTCTGCGTTTCTTAATGTCCGGTGCCAGTGAGGCGGATAGGTTGGGGAGATGAGACTGGCTCTGAGACTGGCGTTCCATGAAGAGAAAGAATTTGGTGTTTTCGTTCTGAGAACGTATCCCATAGGATCCATGTATGCTATATGGTGACATTTAGGCTATATTGATGGTAAATGTTACCATATATAATATATAGCATACATGGATCCTATGGGTATAATTATAGTTCCTCATCTCAATTGGTGTTTTCGTTCTGAAATGGAATCATGAAAGCACATAAACAATTATTGTTGCTTGGGAGCGTAGCATGACTAGCCCTCCGTGAGCAACTCAGTGTGCATTTTATGCTGAAAACCAACATTTTGGACTAGACAACATGTTTTTGAGAGAGAGTTGGTGATCAGTGATAGTTTTGATAGTTTGATATGATATACAGTTTAATATCCTGCGCCATGTTTCTGAATGATGTCGAGACCCATATTATACACGGATGTTTTGGCTTCTGTTCAGCTGTTGACTTGTGTCAAGATCTCATTTGTGTTTTTGTTCGTTTGAATTTAGTAGTGTACCCAGTGTACATTTAAATTTGGACAGTCTGATGTTTTTGGGTTTCTACTGGGGTCCCTGACTTGTCCTTTTCACCAACAGGAAGTGCTACTATTGGCACGGCACTATGCTGTAGATCGACCGGAGACCTTCTGCAGGTGCTACACTAAGCAGGATCAGTGGATCAGTGGGGCCCGGCTGCCATGCCATCCATGGTCGCAACATGACGATGTCCCATTTCTGGTTGGTGGTGACTGGAACATGGCTTTTATGACTTTCCATATTAATTGGGACCATTATTGGGAATAAATCAAATCCAACTGACGAACTCCATCATTTTTCAGAGGGGTTGAAGGGTAGGTATACCACCAACCAGATGTGAACGTCTCACAATATTTTCCAGATGAGGTCAGGATGGGTCCGGATGGGGTGCCACTTCTCAGATCTTCTCAGTGCTCAGCCGAGCACAGGCTTGCCCTCTTTAGCACTGAGAAGGAGAAGGCCTCAGCAGCAGTTCCGCATCAGGAGGTCAGCTCTGCGGTGTCTTGTTAGTGGATTCGCCGCTGCCTTTCACTTGCGTTTTAAGTTTTACCATCTGGTTATGACTGACATAGCCATGGAAAGTCACCATTTCTAATAGGCAAACCCAGGTAAACCATCTAAAAATGGGCCATTTTCCATGGCTATGTTAAATAACCAGAGGGTACATCATGGTGTTAATATTAATCCTCTCCAGCAATCGATGGAACATCTCCCATTTCGCTCGATGATGTTCCGTAAAAAAAATAGCTCCCTTCAGTTCAGCGATTTCCCAGGTCGCCACATTTGATTGAGGGTAAAAAACCGGTTTTTCATGGTTTTTCTATGTTTTGATGATGTGTGGCCTTTGAACTCAGCACCTTAAAAGGCATAACTCTCCCGATCCTTTGGCAGCCAGGCCTTTCCGAGTCATCCAACCACAAAGATCCAACCATTTTTGGTCTTAACTGTTAGTAACAGTTCTGTTTTTTCGAGTATCACCGAGGAAAACATTGATTTTAGATTAGATGTTTAAAGTTGAGGTTATGATGTTAGGTCTAATCATCGATAAAAAACATGATTTTTTAGATGTTTAAAGTTCCAGTTAAATGTATTTAAATGTGCTGCAACCATCCGATGTTGATCCGAAAAAAAAAACATTAAAGTTAAGAGATCCATCCTATATTTGATGTTATGTTTAAAGTCCATCAACTTGAGTAACGATAATTTTATGGTTATATAATATAAAAATATAATGGTTACTATCATGATGTAAATGGTTTCTATCATGATTATGATCTATTGATCTCTATCATTCGTCACGATGTCGTCACGGTGAGGCCTATGGCTCTAAGCAGCGTCCAGCAGATGCCATCGTCATTGGCGGGGGGCTGGCCGGGATGAGTGCCAGCATGGCGCTCTTGGACCGTGGTGGTAGCGTGGTCATGGTGGAAAAGTCCTTTGGCTCCATGGGATCTTGATGATCATGGGGGGTTTGGATGGGTTTTTGGCATTTTTTCTGGCATCCATTTTGTTGGGCTGGGCTCGTGCAACAATGGGAAAAACCACCTGGCAAAAAAAAGTAACAGAAGATATGTTGTCAGGTGACCCACGTTTTACAAAATTTACCAAATTGGTCTCACCTTATATTTTGAGGTCGTACAGGATGGTGCCCCCCAGTTATAAGTGGGTTTATAAACCCCATTAACTATAGTTATATCTGCCATAAACCATAGTTATGGGACTTATAAACCAACTTAGCTAACTATGGGGCACCACCTTGTAACACAAAGATCAATTGTTGGTGCCGATGGCTTGCCACCAGAACTGCTTAAAATCGTCCAGGCAGCCGTACCTTGGTGGGAACTCCGGCAAAGCATCTTCAGGCGAGTGGACTGGACTAGCTGTGTGTCACAAATAGTGACACAAATAGTGACACAAATAGTGGACTATGGTGGACTATGGTGGTTGATAATAGTTGATATATGTTGATATAGCAAAATGGTGCAAATATGTTACCAAATTTATCATCAAATATCGTTTGTGAAGAATATGCAATGCCGACATCGTCAGACATTCTCAGTTTATCTTTCCAGTCTGGCCACATCTTAACCATTGCTCAGTGTCGCCAGGTCTTTCGAAGATTCATACCAGCTTTGGTATTCATGTGTAAAACTGTGAAAAATAGATTGCTCACAGATATCGCATACAGCATCATACTGCATCTCTTGATATCTCTTGTCTCATTTGCCAAGTATTGCTGTGGCCATAACCCATGACGGATCCATTGGTGCTGGTATATAAAAACCTACAAAACTTGATGATTTATTTTAGATATTTTGTTCGGGTAAATGTTAGTGTGCGTATTCCAGCACCATGGTTCGCATATGGGTAATATTATGATATATTATGCTATATATGGTAACATGGATCCCATCAATATACCCCCAATGTTAGCATATATACACCATACATGGATCCTATGGGTAAGGGATCACTTCAGCTTTTGGCGCAGGAATCAACGCTGCGCTCGAAACAAGCGTCGAATCATTGGTCGCAGATACCACGAAGAGCGCTGGGTCGCGTGCAGCTCAGTGGTTTTTCTTCCAACAAAAAAATCCATGAACAAAAACTGGTTGGTGGGTTTCCTATGGTTAATAATGGTTAATAATGATAATCAATAATTTGCTTGAGATTATCAATATATGTATATATATATATTTATATATCTGGTTGGTGGTTTGGAACATGGCTTTTATTTTCCATATCATATGGGTTTCAATTTTTTCAGAGGGGTAGGTATACCACCAACCAGATGATTTACGAGAAACACCGACACCTACACATTCAGAATGTTGACGAATGTTGGCGAACATGTTGGTGGGCCACGGCAGAACCATTAAGTTTTTAGTGGGGCCAGCCATGGCTTTTGACTCGTGAGCCACGGCTGTTATTCAGAGCCGGGGCCATGTGTGCAGTGCATTGGCCGTGCAGTTTCTGACAGAAATGTTGCATATTTTGTGGGATTTGTGTTGCTGAAAAATATACTTTTGGAGAAACAACTGTTGCTTGCCATAGACATGTTTTGTTCATTTGCATCAAGAAATTTTACAGGCTTGAGAGTTGTGAGTGGTTAGTTATCATCACTACGCGATGCAACAGGCGCACTCTGGTGGTTCCCTGCTGTGTATTTTTCAGGCTGGCCCGGCCTGAACTTATCCAACGATTGGCAGAAGACTCTGCAGAAGCTGTGTCGTGGCTCAGGCATAGAGTGGGAGTTTTGACATCGGCGCGATGTCTTTTACACGACGTTGCCAATGCATGCACCTTACATCACCTTACATTGATATGCTACTCTACCATACTGTAGCCTGAAATTTGAGGATATCTGTAAGTAGACAGTCTGATACATGGTCTATAAGTCAATATATCAGGGTACACATGTCTTATCATCTTCCTCCAAGATGAAACTCCCCGGACTAATGGAAAATGGAAGCGAGGACACCTCCACACTTGGGCTGTAAGATGTGAGGATGGCTTTTGAAAAAACTTAAGCCACATCTGGGAAGGATGAACATCCTTTTACCAGTCATTGTATTTTGGTGGCACCAGACTTTGACATCTTTTGACTCATAGCCAGGCAAAAACAACGCGGACAAGAGCCAAGATCTTCCCCGCCATACAAATCCATTTATCCATTTATAGATGGTTTACCCGTAGAAAAGGGTGATTTATCACAGCTTTTTGAAAATTGGTGCTCAGGGAGGAGCTAAGGAGCTACGGGTATCCATATTCCCAACAAAAAACGTGAGCCAGTTGGAGCCATTATGAGTTTCCCAACCACATGATAGGTTAAACAACCAGAGGGTTTACCCATGTTCAATGGGAATTTCAGGATCCTAAAATGGAGGTACCTACCATATATAAGGCCTATATAAGGGCTATGTAAGGGGATATATACCCCCAAAATATGGCCTGGAATTCCCATTGACATGTTTACCCTTCAAACATTTTTCTAATATACTTTAAACTATAACTATCCAGAACTGCTATAGCTTACCAGAGGGCATCACATGGTAATCACAACAGATCTGCAACATGTTCTTCTCGAGCCAGGGATCGAACGAAGGTGGACTTGTCCTTGCGATCACAACTGGGTGGCCACAGTGTGAAGCGTACCTTGAGGCGCCCAGCCATGGCCAGCCATGGGTCGATGGCTGGTCGATTTAGCCCATCACAATGGGGATTGCTGGGGACATCCCAGCATTGTTGTTATGGTCTTCATGTTATTGTTGAATGTGTGTTCCGTGGTGTTGATGTTTTTTTTTTCCTGGGACATTGTTGGGGGGATTTTGGGTCACAATTTCTACTTGATGTTTTTGTTCACTTGATGTTTTTGCTTGGATGGTGTCAGGATTTGTTTTGACTGTTCTGTTTTCATGTTGGGGTCTAATGTGGCATTGTTGGTTTTGACATGATTTGATGTTTTTTGTGTGTGTTTGCGTCCTGATGTTGAAAGTTTATGTATATTATATACTGTATATATAGAGAGATAAAGAGTTTGAGATAAAAGACATGTTGGAAATCTTCTTGCGCCAATACGCTTAAGAATTGCTCAATCAGTATGGGCATTACTGCAATCAAGCAGAAATAAAAGAGCACCTACAAAAACTGATGAGTAATCTAAAAGCTTCAAGAATAGACACCCATAAATAGTAAGAGAAAGATGCCTAGGATTGGAGTAAATGAGGAAGAATTACCAAGAGATATATATAGACAGACCAAATGAACTTCATAAAGGAAGACCCTTATCCTGAATATGATTTTGTATCAAATGACTTATTGCTTAAGCAAGAACAAGCTTTAGACCAATACGCAGAGTCTGGAGAAATAAACCAGGACCTTATGAAAGAAATTCATGAAAACATTTGTGACAAAGAATCGATGAAAGGATACACGAGGAACGGCAGAACTACGACACAACCATTATTCACAACCATGAAAAAGGCACTTGATTGACCAACGAAAGGAGGTCTGCATAGGGATACAACCTTTACAGTGTTCTACAACATTAAAACTATTGTTTCTGTAAATTGGGATGGAATGGCTGAAGATGATGAAAAGTGGAGACACTGAACCAAATGATTGGATCATACCTTAACAAAACATATTATAAAGTAATCCACCCTAAAACCCCTATATTATAAAGTAATCCACCCTAAAACCCCTTAAAGACATCACCCCTTAAACTATTAGAGCTATAATGGCTGACAAAAAGCAGTGTTCCAAAGGTAGAGTCGTTAAGGCAGTATGCTGTACAATATCATCATCGAAAAAGGGAACAAACAACACGGGACAAGAAAGACACTAATGAATTGAAAACTGAAAGTCCAGGTGTGTGGAAGTATCATAAACCCATATCAGGTCAAAAGGCACGAAGGAAAGTTTCAAACATCAGATCAAGCTGAAAGAAAAGGAACAACCTAAAGTATCCTAAAGTGGTAAGAGATGGAGATGATGAAACTGGAATGTTGGAAATATGATATCTTAACCCACACAGCCGTGTCAACCTGAACAATTATCCCAGTTATCCCCCTCATCCAAACCAAACATGTTCTTTACAGAGAAAATAGGGAAGAAAACCGGGAGAGAAAAACAGGGTGTCGAAAACAGAGAAAGAAAATTCAGTTTCCAGAACAGTGAAGACAAATAGATGAGACAATATCCCATGACGGATCCATGGTGCTGCTATATATGGCAACATGATGTAACATGGATCCCATGAATATACCCCCTTTATGTTAGCATATATACCAGCACCATGGATCCGTCATGGCTATGGTGACATCGTGACGTCGAAAAAACCTGGACCTTTCCGGCACTTTGCGGCTGCCTCGGCTGCTAGGCCATCCAACGCCTTTGTGGGTGCGGAGCTCACCTTTGCAGCCGGCCAGGCCACGGCCCGAATGCCCGGGGGTTGTCCCCTGAATCGTTCCATTTCTTCGTTCTGGCCGTCAAATGGCGGATGTCGTTTACCAGGTTGATCCAGATTTGTACACAAGCCAGGAACAAAATCAGAAGTGCCATGGTGGACAATGATACTATGGTAGAATTTTGAGGTATCACGCAGTATCTCATTTCTCAAAAAAGAATGGTGTAGCAATTGTTGTTTTGCATGGTGTTTGGATGGCCATGGACGTGGCACAATGCCAGGTCTTAACCAAGACTGCTGAGCAGGGCGGCAACTTCCGACTTTTGCTAAAATCCAAATGGACAGCCTTGTCGAGGCTTTGGCTCAAAGGATCTTCCTTTCCACCTAAATGTTTTTTTCAGAATGGGCATGGTTTGTCCACAGGCTATTGGGATTTGGATAGATTTGGTTTGTCCACTCTGGCTAGTATGTAGTCCAGCAAAAGTTTGTCATCGATCCAATATGCAAATACAGATACACATAACTTCCTGTGAAGCTTTGTCACATAGGACACAACACATGTTCCACAACACAACAGCCACAACCATGACACCAACACCAGCACCAACCACAACAACAGCAACATCAACACCAGCACCGGCAGCAACAGCAACAGCAACGGCAACAGCAACAAGAGCAACAACAACAGCAGCAGCAGCACCAACAACAACGACGGCAACGACAACAACAAAAAAAGAAGAAGAAGAAGAACAAGAACAACAACAAGAACAACAAGAACAACAGGAACATCAACAACAACGACAACAGCCACAACAACGACAACAACGGCAACAACGGCAACAGCGACAACGACAATTTCTGCGCATGTGGTGCTAGGTACGCTTGCTACCACAAAGTGATATTATATGTTTACACATTCTTTTTGCCAAATATATTGATTTTTTGGGTTTCTGGATTATGTGGAGACATGCCTATGTCTTTTGATGTACTGATGAATATGCTGTATTATGCTGTATTGTACCCTATAGTTACTATAGTTCACGAAACTGATTAAATCTCGCTCATCCACCTCTATCCAAATATCACAGCTGTCGGCAGGTCAGAAGAAGTGTGGAAGGTAGAGGTCCGAATCAATGGGTCAACTCAGGTGCCAATGTGGCGCACGGCACGGATGGGGATGAATGGGGTGAGATGGCTTTTGGGGCGGGCGATCTTTTGTGATCCAGTGATTCTTTGTGATCCAGTGATGGAGGTTAAAAACGAACATATTGCCAGTGGTTTTCCGATGACCAAATTTGGATGATTTTGGGGATCCCCTACCTCAAAAAGCCTCCTTAAATTTGGCTAATCGGCTAATCATGTGAGATTCCTGGCACGCTCGGCACGCCAGGTTCTATATGGGCATCAAGTGATCATTGCCACTGGTGGTTTTGGACACGACAGCAAGGTCCGCGACCATGGTCGCGCGGGTCCATTGTCCTCCATTGTCCTCCATGTAGTGTGGTTTCAGTGTGTTTCAAGCGAATTCCATCACAAGGGTTCATCATATCATATATCATATATCACATATCATATCATATATATATATATATCATATAATATCATATAATATCATATAATATCATATAATATCATATCATATCATATCATATCATATCGCATGCGTTCAGTTGCAGTTCCAGTTGCAGTTGCAGTTGCTCTTGTTCTCGTTCTTGCTCTTGTTGTTTTTCTGATATTTTTCCAAGACGGATGAAACCTGTTTCATCCAATCAAGTTCAGAGACGCGCGCTCCTCACAAAGGAGACAGAAAGCTTGCTCCTGAAACATCGAAGCTTGGACCGCACTAATCAGTGCTGCAGGGCCCAGCAATGAATGCCGGAGATTTGGGAAGTTCTTGAAATTTGCAAAGAACATTTAAAAAAAATAAAATGAATCTTCCACCGCTCCACGATCTGCAGGAAAGGATGTGGTTGCTCATTCAGTCAAGTCCCCATGTCCTAGTGCTTCTCTATTTGATGGCGGGTGAAGGTATACGTAGTATGTGTAGCGGTCGTCAGCTTGCTGGGAATTTTGGTGCTATAGAGATGTGCAACCACATGAAGTGATTCAACATCAGGTTGCCGACCAGCAGGTGCATTGCATTCACTCATGGAATCTCTCATGGCATTCTAAGATAGCCCTTAATGATTCTCAGTTTCAAGGTGTGTCAACGACAGGGTCAACCACCGGAATAGACTGCGAAATGTGTGTTTTATGTTTAAAGCAACGGTCATAACGGTCGACCGTCAGATCGCAATGGTGGGTAGCACAGCCTATTGACGCAAGACATCTTCAAGGCATTTGAAGTGGTGCAGCCCTGGTCATCAGCTGATGAGGTCCCGATTTGGCGGATTTCCCCACAACTCTGGGGCCGCAAACGACCGGTGATGGTGTGAAGTTCGCCAGAGACATCGGTGCTGGTCTAGTGGAAGCTGGGTCGGAGACATCGGCGAAGGGATCTAAATCGGGGAAGATCAAGTTTGGTAGACATCATATTGGTCTGTTTATAAATATAATATAATAATATTTATATATATAATAATAATAATGATAATAATGATAATAATAATAATAGTAATAATAATAATAAATAATTAGTTATATGATATGTATCTATCTACTAGCATATATAGTGGATTGTATTTATATGACATTTCATGAGCTCATGGAATGTTTTCCAGAAGGGGCCTTTTCCTGGCCGGAAAATGTTCTCAGGATATGGACAGAGTTCAACTTCACCCCACAGGCGCAACTGTGACACCCAGCACTCAAAAAATGAGGCAAATGAGGCTGTAAACTGTCAGAAAAGTGGTTTTTAAAGATGTTTTTGTCAAAGTCATTTTTTCTCGTTTTGATATATACCCAAGTGTGCAAGGATCGATATCTGTACAAGTATGCTGAAAACAAACATAGACATATACGCCTTCGCTTGAGTGTCTGTTTCTTTATGTGGTCTTGTCAATAATTATTACTTATTATATTCAGGGTCTCTTCAGGTCACTAGCTATTTGGCAGACAAGCTGACCTTCCTCATTGCTTTCCTTCTCCTCATGCTCCAATTTGCACAGCGGCAGTTGGTTGCCAATTGCTTTGGTGCGCACACCGCTCTACATTACTCTTCAAATCGGCAACATCTAGTTGCTAGCCATGAGTGGTCTGACCGCTCTAGGTTGTTCAGGCAGGTTTGCACTGTTTGCGCGATTCAGATTCGCGCACTGATGCAGGTTTTGTCGATACCAAGAAACCATTGGAGCTGCTTGGCTGGCAGGTTGCGTTGTTCATTATGTTGAGTGGCTTCACTTTTTTTTAATGACGGTCTAATGTAGACACATTGCGATTTCATACAGCCATGTCATCAGAAATCTACATCGATGTTTTGGATGCGACTGATATTGCGGAAACATCCTACTTACTCCAATCTTTGGTGAGTTTGCAAGGTATCTCTATGCTCCCATGCATTTCATGCATTCCATACGGATTTCAGGAAAGGAAGGAGTAGTTTGGTGTAGTTTGTTTTTTCTGGGTAAAAAGTTGGTGAAAGGGAAACATCTAAACATGTGTTTCGGCAAAATGAAATTATGATTTGTTTGATTCACAAAACGTTTGAACGCAAGTTTTAGCCCAAAGGTGTTGCACACTATAGACACAAAACCCGGAGCTCAAAAGAGGCAGACGTGGCCACTTTGGAAACATCTAATTATACAAGTGTAACAAACCCTTGTTCTGGTAGTTTTGTTTGTTTCTGTTGCAGAAGACGTTTGTTGCATTTTGTTGCAAACTCCTGGACTTAGATTTTATTCCGTGCCCCTTTCAGAGAAATCTTTGTTTCAATCTGCAAATCCACCAGTTTTAGGGCACAACTCAAAAGTTTGTTTCTCATAATAGCGCATAGCTATTCGCTATAGACTATACTGTAGACCTTTTGTTCTCAAGAAAGAAATGGTATATCAAAATGCGCGTTCTTTTTTGTGCAAACTTACGTTTGTTACCCGCATGTCACTATCGATTGCTTTCGGCCCGGCATCGCCGTCTTAGTGCCGCGGCTCTGTGCGCCTTGCCATTGTCGTTGTTTTTGTTGTCGCTGCGCAAAAGTCTAAAAATAAGAGTGTTTCTTCCCGTATTTCAAGAAACATAAACCATCCATATATTATTTATATTATATAATAATTTTATATAACCCATAGGATCCATGCATGGTATATATGCTAACATGACTGGGGTATATTGATGGGATCCATGTTCCCATATAAAGGGCTCCGCCCCCTGCCGCCGACCCCTGGGCATATCTTCTGTGGCGCGTGAGCAACTGCGCCATGGTGACTTGTCCGACAATAACCATCGCTTTCTGCACGGGCGGCCTACCACAGTGCCAGGCAGCTGGATTGCTGGGCAGGCGACGTGCCAACAACCAAGTTGCGCCGCGTTGCCTACACAAGGCCTAATTCCAGAAGCCATACAAGAGGCCGAATGCAGCTACTGTGCGGCTGATCGCCGTTCGCGCATACTTGTGGCGCAAGGAGCTGCGGACACACGGTTCCAGAAGGAATTTGCAGATGCGGTCGCGATTTTCGGCACCAACGACATCAAATACCACGTGAACAAGCTTCGCGCCATACAGTGGGCGAATGCCAGAGACAAGCAACCGTATTTATTTGTTGCGCAAGATGTTGCGTCGTCTGTGGTCGTGCAGGAGAAGCCGAATTTGACGACGGAGAAATTGCAATGGTTGCAGCGACACGACAAAGAGTGCGGTGGACTGTACGGCGTGTTGCCGTTGTGCGTCGGCATGCCTGTCCGTGCAACAGATCACCTCGACCGGAAGCGTGGCATTCTAAAAGGCACCAAGGGCTACGTCGTCGGTTGGTCCACGATTGCCAATGAGACGCCTGCGCCGGAAGGAGTCGTGTGCAACACTTTGCCGGCCGTGGTGTATGTGAGGTTTGAAACCGCAACCTCATGGCATGTGCCAGGTCTGCCGGATGCAAACGTATACCCCGTCGGAACTTGCAGGCGTGTGTGGTACTTAGACCGGCAACGCCAACGCCCCAAGCTGCGTGTATCGCGGACGCAATTCCCGCTCGCACCCCAGTTCGCCATCACCGCGCATGTGGCGCAAGGACAGACCATCAAAGAGGGGGTGATGACGGATCTTTGTATAGGTCCCACAGGAAATCCCTTCACCGTCTATGTCGCGATCACTCGCGTCACAGGACGCGAAAAATTGTTGATTTTTCGACCTTTTGACGCCGCTCCATTCCAAAAGGGAATTGGTTTGGGCCGAGACCTTCTTCTGCGACACCTTCGAGGGGATTTCATCAACTGGCAATCGTTGTTGGCCAAATACTGCGAAGAGCGTCGGTGTGCAACCTGTACGGAACGCAAGCCAGCAGCAGCCTTCACGACCGGTCAATGGAAGCGCGAGGACAAGGATCGCGTCTGTCGCGAATGCACAAAGCACTACGCAGACGCAGGAACGCCGTGGCAATGCAACGTTTGCAAGCTGTGGCATGCCGAAGACAATTTTCCAGCAAAGCATCGTCAACGGCAGTGTAGTTTTTTTCGTGTGTGTTTGACATGTGAAGTGAAGAAACCTTGTTTCAAGTGTGGCGTTGTGAAAGCAGAATCCGACTTTGGCGCAGCCGCATGGAAAGCTCGCAACGCGGATCGCCGCTGCTGCAGAGAATGTGCCACCAAACTACGCGGCTGTTGGCAATGTCGCCAGTGCGCGGAACGCAAGCCACGAACAGAGTTTACAGCTTGGCAACAAGGTCGTGAATATACTCAAAACGGCACACAAGTATGCAACGCATGCACAGCCTTTGCCTTCGTTTGCCGTCTTGCTCATCGCACGAATCAACGCCTGGCCCGCTTGCGCCAACGCGAAACCCGCCACCGGCACGCAGCAATCCTAGAGGACGTTCGCAAGGAAATTCAGGAAATACACGAAGCAAGACAAACTTCCACGCGAGCAGAAGGTCCCAAAACGGACACTGCCCACTCATCGAACCAGCAGCTTGCTGTCGGGCCTGACACAGCACCGCCACGACTGCACATATACATCTGCCCGTACTGTGCCAAGTCTGTGCAAAGCCCTGTGGCAACAGGGCGCGTCGATCACCGCCGCGGTAATGGCTGCGGCAAACAATTTCGCGTTACCAATGGCCTGCTCGCAGGTCGCACATATTCGCATGCATGTCCAACATGCGGCACGGTGGTGCACTCAACACTGGCTTCCGGCCGAATTCGGGTAACGCATCGCAATCCCAGCGGCCGGCAGTGTCGCACCAACCAGTGGCGCGTGCATACCTGATGAAGTTTCCAGCTTAAGGTCGCCGCACCGCACGGCAATGCCCCACATTGCTTTCTGAACCTACAAGAAAAGTAGCCGTCTTCAGCTTTCCAAGCTCAGAAACCCAAACGCCAGGGCAGGGACGCCCGGGCAACGGGGCAACGGCCTCCCACTGCCTAACGTTGCTTTCTGAACCTACAAGAAAACTAGCTCTCTTTCCAGCCGTCAAAGCTCACAAACGGCGCCCTCGCCACAACAAAAACAGCAGGGCCGAGGACGGAAACACGGGACCCTCCGAAGCAAACAGGCATCCCAACAGCCCTCTTTCTTCCAGCCGTCAAGGCTCACAAACGGCGCCTCCGCCACGCCCAAACAGCAGGGCCCTGAAGGACGGACCGGGCCTCCGGGCAACGGCTCCCAGTGCCTAACGTTGCTTTCTGAACCGACAAGAAAACTAGCTCTGTTCCAGCCGTCAAGGCTCACAAACGGCGCCCTCGCCACAGCAAAACAGCAGCGCCCTGAAGGACGGACCGAGCCTCCGGGCAACGGCTCCCTAGCTCTCTTCCAGCCGTCAAGGCTCACAAACGGCGCCTCCGCCACGCCCAAACAGCAGGGCCCTGAAAGACGGACCGAGCCTCCGGGCAACGGCTCCCACTGCCTAACGTTGCTTTCTAGCTCTTTCCAGCCGTCAAGGCTCACAACGGCCGCCTCGCCACGCCCCAAAACAGCAGCCCGTCGAAGACACGGAGCCGCGCTCGGGCAACGGCTCCCAGTACCTAAGTCTGCTTTCTGAACCTACAAGAGCAAACAGCTCTCTTCCAGCCGTCAAGGAACTCACAAACGGGCGCACCCTCGCAACAAGCAAAAACCCAGGGCCCTAAGGACGGACCGAGCCCGGGCAACGGCTCCCAACAGCTCCTCTTAAGTCAAGGCTCACAAAAGGCGGCCTTCCGCCAACGCCCACCACAACAGCCAGGGGCCCCTGAAGACGGGACCGAGCCTACCGGGCAACGGCTCCAGCCAGTGCCTAACGTTTGTTCTGAACACACGACAGAACAAACTCGCTCTCTTCCAGCCGTCAAGGCTCACAAACGGCGCCCTCGCCACAGCAAAACAGCAAGGCCCTGAAGGACGGACCGAGCCTCCGGGCAACGGCTCCCAAACTAGCTCTCTTCCAGCCGTCAAGGCTCACAAACGGCGCCTCCGCCACGCCCAAACAGCAGGGCCCTGAAGGACGGACCGAGCCTCCGGGCAACGGCTCCCCCTGCCTAACGTTGCTTTCTGAACCTACAAGAAAACTAGCTCTCTTCCAGCCGTCAAGGCTCACAAACGGCGCCCTCGCCACAGCAAAACAGCAGGGCCCTGAAGGACGGACCGAGCCTCCGGGCAACGGCTCCCAAACTAGCTCTCTTCCAGCCGTCAAGGCTCACAAACGGCGCCCTCGCCACAGCAAAACAGCAGGGCCCTGAAGGACGGACCGAGCCTCCGGGCAACGGCCCCCACTGCC